AATGGAGGTTTATGATGCATGCTTTAGATGCAGCAATTGACATACTTTTTATGCTTCAGTGTCTCTGGTGATGGGCTGTATTTACATTGTTTATTCTATAGTATGAGTGGTACACAAACCAAATTTATACTCATCTGGTACATGTACATTTATGGATGCTTTGATCATGCCATGCTGTATATCAAATATTAGTACATGTATATAACCTATAAAGGATACAAGCTCTGCAGGGACTGTTATAATTATTTGTGTACTTTATAAATGTTTGTTCTTTTATTTGTTATAACCATGACAAATGGCAGCTGCTTTGAAATAGGAATGACATATATCAAAAAGTCACACAAGTCCACGAGTGCTGTGGGATAGTGTACTGTTGCTACTATAATACTACCGATTTATACAGTCAGAGTCCCATACTCATTCCCAAGAGGAGCATTGATTTCATAATTTGATCAATACAGTAACTGTTCAGTCAGATTTTTTTTTCATCAAAAATTCAGAAAATTTTATTTTACTTGCCATGAGTCCCCAGTTGTTTCAATACATACATGTGTACATTTAATTTCAAAATAAAGGGGACAATTCTGTTTATTTGTATTCCGTAGAAAAGGTAAAGCTCATATGTAGGTGAGCTTTTCTGATCAAAATTTGTCCACGGTCATTAACAAGACATTAAAGGGGATCAAAAATTTACATGGTAATTTATAGGAAAAAATCATAAGTTTACAAATCTTGTTTCTCTGCAGGGCCATGATTAATCTCATGAATATGCATGCAGACTCGGATAGTGCAGATTTAATTTAATTCATGGCCCTTGGGCTTGACATGGGAATATACAAGAAAAAAATATTTGCCAAAAGAGTAGCAGACTAGGGCCCTGATTATATAAGTCATAAAAATTAATATACAACCATCCACAGATAGTGCAGATTCAAATTTGTTAGAATCATGGTCCCAGGGAGTAGGATTGGGTCACAAAAGATGATTAGTTTTACATGTGAAATTAAATAAAAAAAAATTTTTCAAGAGTAGCAGGGCCACACTAGATTATATTGCATGTAATAATATTGCAGCATTCCATAGTTATGCAGATTCATGTTTGTTGTCAAATTATTGACCCTAAGGTTAGGATGGAGCTAAAATTGGGGATTTATATGTATACAGGAAACTGATCCTTAAAATGTCCTTCTCTCAAGAACAGCAGGACCAAACAAGGTATATTACATGTAATATTGAAGCATGGCCATGTTTGTGGATTCTAGCCCAGTCAAATCATAACCAATTGGGGTTAAGTTGAGGCTACAAAAATCTTATAGAAAGCCTATGAAGAACAGCAGAACCAAGGTAACCCTGCTGAGCATTGTGGCCTATGGGCCTGTTATTTCTTTTTTATTTGAACTAGTGTAAGTCCATTTTATGCTGCATATATATGTTTCACATGTGGATGAAGGTTAAATTTTATTCTGAAATAATTTGCAATACCTTATTGGTTATGGTAAATAGTAATTATTGTGAATTAATATCCTAGGGATTTATAAACATGTATAAAGTAAACTCTAGTAGCTTAATTGTGTCCATTGATAAGATGAAGAAATTCATTGGAGTTAAATTGAAAACATTATATAGGTATACAATTTTCAGTTTTATGTAGTACTGAATTATGTCAAAAATGTCATTTTTTCCTGTTTTTAAAAATGATTTTATTTTTATTTAATTGTTTGTGGGTATGGTTTTGTATTTTGTGAATTCACTACCAGTAATTATTCTTTTCAACTGGCAATTCTTAACAGTCTCTTTGTATGAACTTTCTGCAGTGTATAGCTTAAATTTCCTCAAATTTCCTTAAATTTTCCAGCATAACATTTTAAAAAGCATAACATTGTAGTAATTAAGCCACTAGCAGACCAGGGGAAACTGATGCTTAAAGCTCTTGCTAAGAAACACTTACATGTACATGGATTAAGGCTTTCATTATACCCACACATTAACATTTAACTTGGACATATCAGAATCCTTAGATTTGAAACAGAAAACTGCAGCATTAATCAAGAGTGAAATGGAAACTTGAAAGACTCAAGTTAAACTTAATTAAATGTAAAATTTGTAATTTTACATTTCATGTCCTTGTCAATTATTTGAACAATTATGTAACATTTCAGTTATGTCAAATGTCTATCTTTATTAAATTAAACACAGTTACTCAAGGTTTTTTAGTACAATATTACAATATTCTATGTGGATTTATGCACTAATCAATCATTTTTAACTCACCTGAGCCAAATGGCTCAAGTGAGCTTTTCTGATCGAAGGGTATGTGTTGGACATCCATCTGTCATGTGCTGTCTATAAAGTTTTCACATTTTTGACTTCTTCTCAACATCTCCTTAGCCAGTTTGAACCAAAATTGCAAAAGAGCATCCTTAGGTGAAGGCAAAAAAAAGTTTGTTCAAATGAAGGGCCATACTGTCTTTCAAGGGGAGATAATCTTTAAAAATCTTCTTTTCAGTAACCACTGGGCCAGAAAAAATGAAACTTACATGTATGTGAAGCCTTCCTACATATAGTAGATTCAGGTTTGTTCAAATCATGGCATACCCCCCCCCCCTTTAACTTTTTTCATAGGAATATATAGGAAAAAGTATTTAAAAATCTTTTAAAGCCATGATTAGTGGTCAAAAAATAAATATCGAAGCATCCTTAGTTAGTGTAGATTCAAGTTTGTTCAAATTATGCCCCTTCCCTGCCCTTACGGGAGCTGAATTTCTGCTTTTCTCTAGCTAAGTGCTTAGGTGAGTGATGTGGCCCATGGGCCTCTTGTTTCAGTGTACAACAAATCTTGTAACTGCGGTGATCAACTGAATAGTAATGTTAAAGAGATTACCATTACTTATCTATTAAAAATCATCCTCATCTGAAAATTTAAGATTGAACATAAATGTTAACCCTTGTTGTTAACCAGTTCCAAAACCTGCTCATTCCAATGTTTTGTTGAGGTATGGCATACCAGTTTGTGTTGTTATGATATTGAATTACATATGTTCTGTTATGTAGATGTAATTATGCATCGTCCAAATAAAAGTGATTGTTGATTGTACATCATTCTATTGTTTGATTATTCTCTCTATTGTCAAATTTAAAAAGGATCAAATGAAGAAATATTTAGCAGTCTACGGTTCCTTGGTTTTCTGATGATGTCAAATGAATGTCAAATACACAGTTTTTGAGATTGAGGCGGTAACAATATACTGTACAAGCAGAAATTTTAGCCAGGATTCAATTTTGGCATTTTTAGTGAGGGTGTTGAGATCATTCAAATTAAATGTCGCTAAGAATTTATTCTGTATTGAAGGTTACCGATATCTTTCTATGAACCATGAAATCGCTAAAATTACTTCTCCCTAAAATTAAATACTGATTTTAAGGAAATCTCGCTAAATTTGCGTCTCTCTAAAAATTCCACTTATACGGTATGATGTAAATTAAAATTGCCATAAAGAATATGTACTTATCTCTAGTATAGGACATGTTGCTGTATAGGTATGCAATTGATAACGAACTCATGATAAGTACATGAAAAATTGAGTTTTATTCTTATTTTTCATTCAATGACATATCAGAATATCAAAGTTGAATGTACATGTAATGCATACATCAATAAAACTGATTTTCCAACCAACTATATTATCATGGACTGAGAATGTTTAAGGAAGTTTGCTTTAATTGGTCAATATCAATGGATATTTTTCTGGTGAATATCGGACCATATTCACCACCAAAAGAGTCCATAATTGTACAATAAAAATTCTACTTTCAAAATATAATTTTTAACATTTTTTCTATTTTGTGATGTGTGCATAGGTACCTGCCTACTAACATGTGAACCTGGTTTTGTCATATCACTATTGCATATAAACACATGTATTTAGTGCAATACTGTAGATTCCTTATTATACGCGAGTACTTAGTATCGCGAAATGGCCCAATGACATCAAATCGCGAGAACAATAATTCGCGAATGGGTGATTTGTCTTGAGATTTTACATACATTAAAGCACCATAAAAATAATAGCGAGTAATTTTATTTCGCGAGCGGTGGTTCTCGCGTAATAACGCGATAATTTATTCCTCGCGTATATTTAGGAATCTACAGTAGTCAACTGCAAACCCCTAAATGAATGAGTAAAAAGACAAGCCTCTATAGTAACGTCAAATACTACAGCTCTTATGTCGAACAACAAAGGTCCCTCCTTAATATTAACTTTATACAATCATGTACATATTTTTTTTAATTTAATTAAAACTTGATTTTAATTATATAAACATTCTTAAATGACTTCAAAATGTCAATAAAAAAGTAATCTCAGATATTTAAATAAAATACTTTAAAAATACATGGTAAATAGAATACTGTACCAGCCCTTGGGCTGATATGGGGCCATTTGGGAAATCCAAATTAACTTGGATTGATTTACATTACATATTTCATGTTATTTTTCACAAAAAAAAGGAAAATATTTGAGTATATCAGCAAAGACACAAATATGCACACATATGGGAAATTATTTAATTGGACATTACTGGCAAAGTATTCTGCAATATATGATACATATATTTATGATACAGGGATTGTGATGTGACACACATATGGTTAATGATATAACTAGGACATTATGGCAATGTATCCTGCAATATGATATGTAGATTGAAATAAACAGGGATTGTAACATGACAGATTCATGACATGTACATGTATCTTAATTCCATTTCAAACAGTTTTCACATGTATAAATGCTAATTAATTTATAAACTAAGATATAACGATATTGTGGAGTTTGATATGCAGCTAATTTCTCCAAACAAAAATTATTTTGACATCACCAGTGATTTGGGGTATATCAGTGCATGTCTATGAGTATTAAAACAAAATTTAAAAACAATCGAAGTCATGTTGAATAATAAACAATTAAAATAGAGCACAGATACCCTCTTCTTTCCTCATGAACAGGCTCTCCTTTAAAAAAAATGCTGGCACTAAAAGATATCCATGAATACATCATTGATGCATATTATCACAGTACTGCATCAGTGTTCATTATATAACCCTCTTAATTAAGGCATGTCAAGAAATATGAGTTGTTGCAACTCAGTATACTGTATACAATAAATATTTTAAAAGTAGAATATAATGAAAAATGAAGGAAATTGATATGTTTAATATCCTGAGCATTTACATGCCACTGCATAAAACTGTCGTCTGTATTATATATCTGAAGGGGGTTCCATTCCTTTCTCAAATCTGAAAGGCACCAGGCGCTTATACACAAATAAGATCCAGCCCAAAGTTAGAATGATCATACCACACATGGACAAAAATGTCACCCTTGGACCAAATGAATTATAAATTAAGCTGACAAATATTGGTCCCACGGTTCGAGCAAGGCTTCCTGAGGCTGTGAGGAAACCCATCATTGTACCCTGAAAGTAAAAATATATTTACTTGTGTATATATTATACTGTTTCAGTACACATTTTTGTCTTTGCAGGGCTGAAGGATGTCTTTGTTATATAAACATGTACTGTATATTTCCTAAATATATGTGAGGAATTTATTATCATGTAGTTTTGCAAGAAGCAACACTTGTGAAATAAAATTACTTGCTTTCATTTTAATGATGCTAAAATCAATGTAAAATATACAAGTCATTTTGTGATATTAAAAGTACTCACATAAATCAAGGAATCTAAAGTATTTATTGTGAGCAAATTTGAAAAACATTCTGTCAGTAATTCAAATTTTCAAAGCACTGACATTTTAACAGTTTATTTTTACAATGTATACATTTCAAATCACAATGTAACAAACTATGTTTCAACCAAACTTTATAATAAAACAAAAAGACATTACACAAACCTGAGGCTTTGGTCCCAGTATTTTGGAATACAAGGCATATGACATGACATTTCCTGTTGGATATCCTATGCAAATGAGCGCAGTGCCACAAAGAAATTGGGCCAATGTTACAATGGGGGTATAGGCGCACCACTGGTAGGCATCTGGACACCCAGTGGCCTCAGGATTCCCCCCTGAGCTGTTACCGACCACTGCTGGTGCTTTGATGGACTGGTTGTGGTATGGGGATATAGTCTGGGCAGATGGTAAAACAGTAAACCATGACTCGTTTATTGATGGTGTGCTGTTTGGGTAAATTTCTGTAATTACAGTGCATATGTCAAGTTATGTTCAAATCAGTTTCAACCAATTAATTACCGTATGTTATTCATTTCTGTACTCAAAAGTTTTTCACAGTAACTCACAAAAACTTAGATAAGACAGCACATTAAAGGGTGAAAGGAGATAAGTCAATAAAAAACTGCCTTATATAATTAATTCATCATGTATAAGAGATGCAATCCTAAGTTTATTTAATATTGATTGCATGGCTTTTACTCTATTTTGAAGATTTCAATGTAAAGGTCTGTACTTGGAGTATGACCTTGACCTTTGACTTACATCTTTACCGATGTGCCTCTGTGGGTGATGTATGAGCCAGATGTGCCAAACAGAAAATCAGCTCAAGACAAGGTTTTTCATAAGAGATCTGTTACGATCCTCTGTCATAGAAATGTGGTTCAAGGATACTGCATAAGCACTTTTGTATGAGCCAGATAAGGCCAAAAGAAGAGAAAATACTTGGACACCCCTAACCCTTGGGTATTCTTTTGGTAAAGTATGAGTCAGATAGAACCAAAGAGATGCTCTAGACAACAATTTCTGCAGAGATATTTTGAACATTGACCTTTGATCTATATTTAATTTATTGGTTTGAGGTCACTGCACACATCCTTTACCCCCTGCACTCTATGGCCTTGTTTTGGCTAAGAGAGAAATATGCTCATGACAAGATTTCTTAAAGAACTCTTCTATGACCTTGATCTACGGTCAAGGAAACTGATTCATGGTCACCGTACACCCTCTACCCACAGGTGCTTCATGGATAAAGCATGAACCAGACTCCTGACTGCAGACCTTCAACCCAAAGGTACTCAATGGGTGAAATATATGCCAAATAGGGCAAAGAGGAGAAAATATGATTGAGACAAGGATTTCTGAGAGTAATCTGCTTTGATCTTGGACCTTTGATTTAGAATTGGTTCAATAACAATGCAATCTCTTTACCTATGTATACAGGCAGTCTGTAAGTGAAGTTTGAGCAAGATTAGGCCAAGGGAGAAGAAATATGCTCCAGACAAGATTTAAAGATTTTTTTACCTTGACCCTTCATCTCCTTAAAATTAGTTTAAGGTCACTGCACACCCTCTAACCAAGGGCACTCTATGGGTGAAGATTGAGCCAGATTGGGCTGGATGATTGATGTAGGACAGACAGACAGATGGACAGCTGTCTGGACTGATGGATGGACAGACTAAACACTACAGGGCACCCTCAGAGCAGGGCCCTAATTATACAAATAATCAATGGAGGAAACAAAAGTTTGAAAATAAACTTACTGGCCATTTGGGAGGGAGGGTAGTTGTGTCCCCATGGAAGATACACCACGAAGCCCAAAAGACAACAAACAAGTCCTCCAATCAACAAAAATCGCTCATTAATTCTGAAGTAAAAATTGATTATCAAAATCATCTCAGTTTGACATATAATACTCAACAAAAGGTTTTATACATAAATGCTAGGAACCCTCTATAGTCTGTCATCCTCAAAACGTCAGCAGTCCTAGCTGAATCAACTCACTGCTGTCGGACCCCTGAAAAAATTTCATTCAATATTTTACGGGCTTGCTTCTCTCATTGAGAAGCACCAATCAGATTGGGGCTTTAATAAGTTTCATAAGTTTTACAGGTTGTTTGTCACTGAAAAGTTCAATGGACTGGTCAAGAGATAAGAAAAACAATTTGTAAAGATTTTAGGAGATTGTAAAGATTTTAGGAGATTTTAAAGTCTTGTAATATCCTAGAAAGACATCACTGCAGTCAGCCTGTAGATGAAACTGTCAGGGATCCAATGGCAACAAGTTGACTCAGGCCCCCTGATGTTGTGACTCAGTGGATGATACTCTGCATACTGTAGAGTACTACTTCCATCTATACTGTATTTTTTGTATTTTTATGCAATCAAAGTTATATGCCCTTTGTTCTAAAATTTAAAAAAAATTGTATCATTCCATTTGATATCACTCCAAGGATTCTTGACATTTTTTCTGACCTACATCAATTTATTGAACATATATATTTCCTATCTAAGTTACAAAAGTGACCAGTTTAAATATTGTATGTGTACTCAAAAAAGCAGGCTTCATATTTTAGCGGCTTTTGTGTGCAGCACAATTTGCTAATTCATGAAGACTGCTAATAAATCATTTATAAATACGGACATGTAGCGCAAATTCATGAATACCCCAACAACTCCATACCCAGTGGTTGCGCTAAATTTTGAATACGCCAATTCATGTACACATACAGTATACATTGTCTTTGAATATTTTTCCTGGGGGTAATTGACAGGTACCCTATTTTGAAAATAAAATTTTAGATAAGCTCAGTTTTTAATTACATCTTTATACGATATAATTTTCTCAATGTCAAAAAAACTTTTTTCAATATAGTATAAAAATCCTACTCCTCCAAAATAATTCTACCATAATGTCTGATTCAAGTTTATAGATGAAATTAAAATAACTTATTTTGAATTCTTACTTTTTAGAGAGAAATTTGATGACAATGAACACTAAAATAGCTACCACTCCCCCTACTGCTAATATTATTCCATTGTACAGTGTGGCGTGTGCTCGAGTCCAAGCATACATATTCATGGTCAATGGTGTTCCTATTCTGGAAAAAATAAAAATGAGACAATGGTTTACTTAATTTCAGAATTTGGATCTGTGAAATGTGATTAAACTGAAAAGAAATTTACAATGAACTTTCATGAAAATTTTATCAAAATTAAAAGTAGAATTTAAAAGCATTGAGTAATATTACAAAGGAAAACTTTAGCAAGAATCAGATATTTTAATGTTGATCTAGTATGTATAATGGAATGCATGAATTGCTAAATAATTATTTCAGAGACTCAATCTTTGTGGAAGAATGATTTTTTTTTCAATTTCTTACGTCTCAAAGACAGCAAAGATAAACAGCACCACAAAAAAGATGATGTTAGAGGCCACAACAGCAAAGATATCTGGAGTATATTCAGGAATTTCTCTGCCTACAATCATTAATTAAAAATTTTATAATATATTATTTTTTTTTAAAAGTCAAATAACAAAGATCATCATTTATACATGTGTATAACTTACTAGAGTGTTGCTTATATTTTTAAAAATTATTAATACATCTTTATCTGATGAAGTTGTAATTTTGCAGATCTAAACATTCTATGTGCTTTTTATAATACAGTCAAACATTGTTATCTCTAACTCAAAGAGACAAAGAATTTAAAGAAAAACTTTGAGATATACAAGGATTCAATGTATCAAAGTTAAGTTACATAAAGTAAAAGTTGGTGGGACTGCTCACTCACTTCACAAAAATCGATAGTACGAGATATTGGTGTTCAAGATAATGATATTCAACTGTATTTCCTTTTTAAATCAATTAATATCTCAAACACATTTACACATGAAGTTTGAAGGACTGGTTTAACTTAAAACCCACAAACCTGTGTCTTGAATGCTGAAGTTATATTCTTCATCTACAACCCGGTGTTCCCTGAATACCACAAACAATAGGATGAGATTAAGGAGACCAACTAAGGCACTAAGGAATGCTGGAGCTGTGTACAGATTTATCCGTATCCCAGACTTATGGACTGGTCCGGGGTATCCAATGGGGACCATAGCTGTCTGGATTGCTGCAAAAAAAATCTTAAAGGTAAAGAATATCGCAGAGGCTTATAGCCTTCTCCATTAATATTTATTTTCTCATTTTCTTAAAAAAGTTTATAATTAACCAAAACTTATTTAACAAGCTTTGCTCTATATGACTTAAGCTTTGAATGGATTTATTAAGTTGGTACAAAGTATAACTGGTACATGTAATACATATTTCTGGTAACTTTTGTTGTAGTTTTTTGTCAATATACTGTATACCAAGTTTCATTCAAAGCTACTTATTAAATAAATTAGCATTATAAAGTTTGTGACAAATACCATGAACTTTCTTGCAACAGATACTTCATTTCAATAAAAAAAACTTGATCCCAAAGTCAAATCTTCATAATTCAGAATTACTTACAGACTCATGCACATGATGCAACCTCAAAAAAATTTATGACAGGAAAAAGTTAATTTAAAGTATCCTTACAAGTAATTATATTACATACATTTTTTAAGGGTGTGTAACCTTTGAACTTAAATAATTACAGTCAAGCTGTGTTTTTACTGCATGCACCTGCATTTTCCATGATAAAAAGACACTACATTGAAAGAAAAGTTCCTGACAGAACTTTAACATGTGCCATATTAAGTCAGGTGGAAAAAGATAAATAATTTTTCCCTCATACCTGGTCCTACAATAAAGCCGATTGCTTGGAAAGCACTGAGATTCGCCATGGCTGCTGTTCTCTCTTTGATTGTGGTGGCTCCAGATAGGTAAGATCTGACCACCGCCACATTTCCTATACAACATAAAAAAAACAACAAATTCAGAATTACAATTGTCTGCTTTCACTGACGTTCACAGTTGTGGCATATGCCAATTATCTACAACTTTGCAATCATTTGTTATTATAAAATTTAATTTAACAAATTAGCAGTCTATAAAATAATGTACATCGATGTATTATAATTTTCTTTTTCATTCATTACAATATGGTAGCTAGTATCTAAACAGTGTCTAATTTACTGATCTTATCAACATGCATGATCAAGGACATGTATACTGACAGTGAATAAATATCATGTTAATCTGTTGATAAACATACTACATGCAAGTGCACTAAATTAACCTTTCATATCCAAATATTAGTACATGCAACTACACATTCAGTTTCATTCACTTATGTAAAATGGCAGGGACACAAACATTGACAAGATCTGTAACATACATGTATTTCAAAATTTAAAAAAATTATAAAATGAAAAACCTGCACCAAATCCAATTAATGCTCTGGCAGCAATCAGAGCCACTAGTCTGTGTTCCTTTATGTCTTCCAGATAGGCATACAGAATGTTAGCAAGAATGTTAATGATGAGAGACACAACCAGAGGCTCTCGACTTCTACCCAAACAGTTAGCCATCTTGCCAAAGAAAGGAGAAGCAATGAGCTGACCAATACTGTAGGAAGCCACCACCCAGCCCAACAGATCTGTTGTTGCATCTGTGTCCAGCTAAAATTACAGGTTATCTTTTAAAGGCATGCCATTGCAAGCAGAGGGAAAAAAAGGGATGGCAATTTAAGCTAAAATCCTAAAATTGAGGTCATTGTGACCTACTTTTTTTTAGTTGCAACACACTTCCTTCTAGACATGCATGAACTAGTAAAGTTTGATTTTCTAAGTCTTAAAATGTGCTAGATTGATATGGTAAAAAGTTTAGAACATCAGACAATACAGAGTATTTGAGCTGGCATGACAATTGTTGCTTAAATACCTTTAAATCAGTGCCTTCATAAAGTGAACATATTATCTTTTAAACTAACTAATTAACATGCTCCAGTGCATCTTACAGTACATGTAGTTAGCGATTTATCAATACCTGTTTTATTGATGCAGAACAAACATGCTCTGGTTTAGCATTAGTTCATTTTTGCCAAGTGATAACATGTCATATAGTGAACAATTATTAGTGCATCATTGATGCATATAACCATTAGATCAGTATTTCATGCACACCTGTAGATTCTTTAATTTTCATGCATAGTTGTAGAACCTTATACATGTATCTGTGTCTCTATATATTCATTCAAATCTTAGGTACTTCCTATACCCCCTTTATCATAACTAGACTAAAGTTCCTTACCAGTTTCAGAAACGGCCATATTGAGGACATACAGATGGAGAAGGACACACTACTGAGGAACATCGTGAGGTACATGACACGGATGGACTGCCATCGACTCTGACGGACTTTTGGGTTCTCAACAAATGTATTGCTAGGCATGCCATTGGATGTGCTGAAAAAAAGCTTTGTCCCATTATTGACTCAGTACAATTTCAATGTAAAATATTTTAAAGAGCAAAATGAATCAGGCACCTAGCAAAAATACAAAAGTTTGCAAATTCTTCTATTTGAAAAAGTTTCTTAAAAACCAAACATACAAATTATAATTATCTGTCCAACATGGGATGATATCCTGGAAAATTCGGAAGAAGTGGATTTACCACTGACAGAGTCGATCAAAACTCTCATCTACGTATAGTCAATTTACTGTGGACACAATCCATAAAACTAATAATGGATTAACCTTATTTAGCAGAGTATGCTTCTATCTGGCTTAAACAAATATAAACAAAGAGGTGGAATAAGTGGCCCTCTCTGTCTACCTCCTAGCTAATATTTATTGTCTGCTGCAATTTTTTTCTCTGTGTTATGCATCCAGAGATAATAAGCATAGTACCTACCCATTATATTTCCACATTTCAATCTCTGCTTCCACCCTTTCATTCTGAGTGAAATATTTAATAGACACAACCGAAATGTTTTTGTCCATGGTTTAGTAAAATGCTATAACCAGTTAGATTTTGGTTATATAATTTATGAGATCTGATTCCTGGACTTTATCCCTTGTTTTAGCACAAACTGGGAAGAGGGAATGTTGTCAGGGAATTACAGGTAAGTAGCGGTGCTGTTGGGCCGTAATGAAGCATCAATAAGAAAGGTGCTGTAATTTCCATAAGGTCCTCCAATATTCAATCCATTAGAACTGGTAAAATCAGCTGTCCAAATTTATTGTAGATATATATATATATATAGAAATGATGGTTAATAATAATTAACTTGAAATTCAACAATTATATTAAGTTTAACAAGTCAAATTGAGTCTTAACAGAGTGGGATATAGCCAGTAAAGCATCTGGCCTCTGAACTATAGAAAGTAATTATTAATTAATGAACATAGCTTTTTTGTAAGATCGACTGAAACTAACAATAATTGAATTGTAACACTAACCCAGAACTGTGTTAATAAATAAATATTTACCTCCACTGAATATTATCTCCCTTATTTCTTTTATGACACTCAAAAGATCTCCTCTGTTACAACATAGTAATGTTTCCAAAAATTACTATATTCACATCCAATGAAAAAAATTAAGATTCAAATCCTCATCCTTCAACCATAATTATAGTATTACATGTACATCCGTGTACCTGGCATACCCAGTTTGCACTTAAAACACTACATGCTGAAGTCCGTGAACATTCCATGAACTGTTTATTGATAAACTGTAATACGTTCATGCAGGACATTCATACCATTACATAATGTAGTTAGATAAGACTTATCAGCTGGTGACTTAATTGCTTTAACTGGCACATTTTGGGACAAGTAAAGAATCAAAATATTGCTGGGTTGTTACTTCCTTAATCACTTTGCATTTGAAAATTAATTCACCTGATATTGATCTTTTATACTTGTGAACTGGCCATCTGTTGATAATATTGTATATTCTATTTAAATTTACCAGAATGAATGTTTTGTAAAGAATTAGTGCTGTCTGTAAAATTCTAGGTAACTGTGACCATCAAGACTGCAGGATGTCAGTAAGTGCATGGACGATAATTAAATTCATAAGATTTTTCAATGGAGAAAGGCCAGTTACCTAACAAGGTAGGGACCAAAAAAGAGTTTTTGTTTTTAAAAATGTAATTATAAAAAGTTTAGTATTTATTTTATGATGATAAAATCCCTGGGGATTACAAGAAAATTCTTTAATGGATGAATTAGGAACTAGAAAACTGACCAGTAAGCAAGGGCCCGCCAAGGGTAGAAATATAATGGTGCAGCTTACAGAAAGAGAATTTTACAAAAAATAAAAAATATATGAAGACTATGCAACAACAACTGTATTTATAAAATTTCAAGATAATTCCTAAATAACCAACAACCTGTAAATAGTATCCTTGTATTTACATAAGGCAGCAAAATATATCATTCTATAATAACTCAATTATTTAAACAAGAATAAAGCATGTGTTTTATAAAATGCCAGCCTTCAGAGAATGCAAATATCACCCAGGCTTGACCTTAACTTCAAAACAAACATCAGTTGCAGACAAAGGTGTTAATCTATCTTAAAGTGACAGATAAAGATAAGCCTCTAAAATTTTCTGCACCAAGCAAGATAATTAATCCCAGGGGATTACTTGTACTACTCTCTCATCCTTTTCTTCTAAGTTTACAATAAGAACATTTTCATTAATGATAGAATGAGGTTATTATCGGAATACCTGTTAAAATTAATAGTATTCTTGAATTTACATGAGGCAGCAAAAAATAAATAAATAAATAAAATGAAAAAGATATCTTTATGTATATTTTTAGAATTTAATAAAATCAACTCATTGTGTATTTTATCAAAATAAAGTATGAACATTATTTAAATCCACATTTTAGAGAATGTAAACATCATTCAGAAATGACCTTCAAAACAAACTTCATTTGCAGACAGAGGTTTTAATTAATCTCAATTTGATAGAAAAGATAATGCTTTGGATTTTTTCAAGAGGAAATTAGTTAATTAATCCCATTGGACTCATCGCAGCTTTTATAGTTTACAACAGGAACATTCTCAGCAGTTATCTCTCTTGCCAAGTGGTGGCGTCTCCATATGAGTGAAAAATTCTCGAGAGGGACGTTAAACAACATATAAACAAACAAACAAAAGCAGTTATCTCTCTTTGCCCATTCATTCTTATATAAAGTTAAGGAATCTACCCCTCCACTCCAGCTCCAAACTGGATGACAAAGAGAACCAAACTTAGCATCAAAATATGTCTTACTGTCTATATAACCAACATACCAAATCTGAACTTAATTGCTCAACTATTAAAAAAAGTTATTAGAAAAAAAACCCAGAAAATTTGTGGACAGAAGAATGACAGATGGACAGACAGCTAGACAGATGGACAGACAGAGTGATTACTATAGGGCACCTGCAAATCCTTGCGGGGCCCTAATTATCATGTCATATGCTCCCATTCTTTGTTAATTGTTACCAGCATCATAAAATAGATGCTTTGTATTCCTTCAAAATGATGATTTATTTCCTAGTAACTTTATTCATAATAGACTCTAAAAAAGTACTAAAAAATTCATAAGATTTTAAAATAGTATTAAGAAATAATCTTAAAAAATTCAATAAATAGGCTTATGGGCTCTTATGCTCACCCAAATTTATAGGGCTATGAAAAACTCAGTCCCACCGCGGACTTGAACTTGGGAATCATAGGAGTCGTTATTGGACATAAATTTTACAATGAGTGTTCATTACCAGTCATTGCATTCAGCTAAACTGTGTCCTCTAGACCTCAGGAGTAAAGAGGATCAACTTGTAATTAAAATGCAATGCATTTTTTTAATCATATATACATGTATTAGCAACTTAGCCCCACCCTGAGGTTTAAGTCCAGGGGACAAAAAATTCAATATTGGCTAAAAAAAAAAAATTAGCTCAATATCTGCAATCATTTAGAAAAAAAAAAGTGCAGAAAACCATGTGGGACAGACTGGCAGACAGACAGAGGGACAGATAGATGGAGAGACAAATTAACATGCAGAATGAGAGACAGAAGATGGATGGATGAAGAGGAAATCTATAGTCCTCTCCAGTTTCACTGGTAGGTGACTGTCAAGCATTCTGAGAGTACTAAATAAGGAATACTAGTCCCAGTATTGGCAAGTGTAATCTAGCTGGTTTCTCTGAAAAATTAAAAAGGCCAATAATAATTTTAAAAATCATTGAAGGGGTACAAAATGCAAGCTTGATCTATAATTCTTTATGGTTCACTCACATACCAAAAATTGGCTCAATATAACCTGCAAGCGTTTAGATAAAATACTACAGAAACCCAAGTAAAAAATCTGGTTCTCCCTTAAAAATTAACAGACCGTGATTCTGTCAAATAACATTCAAGCATAATGGAATGCAAACTTGATCTGTAACTCCTCAAGTCCACTCATACACCAAGAATCAGTTCAATATCTGCAAGCATTTTAAAAAAGTGCAGAAAACTAAGTGGGACAGATTGATTGACAGATGAAGGGACAGACAAATAGACAGACAAAGAGGAAACCTAAAATCCCCTCCAGTTTCACTGGTAAGGGACTAAAAAACACAAGTATAACCAGATGGGATAGAGTCAACTTATGCTTTTAAGCCTGCTACACATGTTAGCTTTGTAAATGTAAAAGTGATGAGTAACCATCATCATAACCCTTAGAATTCATTTTAAGGATATCCAATCTTCATCCAGGAAGGATAACTCTTAAAATTATTATTTAATTTAAAAAGTCTCAAAATTAAGCTTCAAATTGAAATCTTTTCATGCAACAATTTTCATTTTATGCATCTCAGTATGATTTAAGATTTTTTTAAGTCTTAGAAACGGTATTGTAAAAATTTGACATTTATATTCCATGAAGTAAAAAAATAAATGCATTTTCATAGAAATCAAATTTCCTTTCAACTAGCCTTAGACACCAATGTTTATTAGCATGATATGAAATTAGAAGTGATCTATGATGTCTTACACTGATAGTAAAAGCATTTTACATTTTAATTTGTATTTTATAACAAATGAACTAAATAGAAGAACTAAAGTAACAAATAGGTATGAAAAAGTGCAATTTTCTCAAAATGCCTGGATACCTAATATAATTTTTATAGTAAAATATATTTATTGATCAATTTTCAATCAAAAAATGCATAGCGGGTACTTTTATTTGCATTTCCTGAAAATATATTTGAGATTTAATAATTTTACCTATATAATATATGATTAACTTTATTGCTGAACTATGAAGAAATGCCTTGGGTAAACATGGTAAATACACATTATTTTGAGAATTCAGACTCTGAGACATTTTTGTAGGCATTTTCAATTTACCCAACTCCTGATTTTCAGGACCTGATGATTGGACTACCTTAAAAATAATTATCAATCCTTCACTTAATTTATAACATAAAAACACCTCTATTTAGAACATTCATAATGTATCCATCACCACAAAACATTATTTAAATGCCAGCATTATTAATCCCCTACTGGTGAAACCCGAAGGGACTATAGGTTTCCTCCTAAATGTCTGTCTATCCATCTGTGTGTCCTTTTGTCCTACTTGGTTTTCAACACTTTTTTCTAAAATACTTGCAGATATTGAGCATGTTGAGCTGATTTTTGGTATGTGAGTATACCTTGATGAGTTACAGGTCAAGCATACTAATAATATTATATTAATATAATATATGGTATAATAATATTTAAGAGAATGATGGAATTTTGTAGTAGACAGCCAAGGGGTTGTGGAAATAGAAAGGACACAAACCTGTTGCTTGTGATGGTGATGGATAGCAGGGATGTACTGTCAAATCACTTATTTTCATGGGTGTCAAATTTTCATGGATTGATCAGGGAAAAAATCGGGTTTGTGGGGATTTGATTTCATGGATGAAGAATTGTTGAGTATAGTAATACATGAATATGTGAAAAATTACATTTTGTGGTACATGTATATTTGTCTTGATAATGATAAATCATATGATACATACATGTATCAATTAACACTTCTCATAGACAAACAGGTTTCCTGCACATAAATTATAATGACTCAATCTCCTTATCAACTTATAAGGGGTAGAGGGGGGTCCAACTCCAAGATGAATTTTGGGTTACATTGTATAAATTTTAATAACTGAAAATCTTGGGGGAAATCTGAATTTAATATATAGATGTTAATTTAAATTGATCTATATTCAGGCATAATTTAATTATGATCAAAATTTCAACAACCGAAAGAAAAAACTCATCTTTGGATTCTGATGCATTAAATTGAGGTGGTAAGAGCTTTGTTCATGGTGTTAGAGAAACTGTCATTTGGTCTAGGGATTTTTGCAGCAATTAAGATACTAGGCCTAATATACTAACTGCATGTAGCTTTCTTATTTTTACTGGTGCATGATCGCGCGCGATGCTGTTTTTGGTTGAACAATTACTTTCATTTTCCACTGCTCTGGTCAGTCCAATAAGCATAGCACAAAACTCTATCAATATTCCACTAAGACTGACTTCTAGTTTGATGTTGAACTACATGTATCAGTAAATCACTAAATGGGGACAAGTCCATGTGCTCGCTTATCGATATAAACCAGATTTTTCATTAAAAAGAAAATACTTTACATTACCCGTAATCGGTATAGCTGTCATCGTTTGGTGGATGTGATTTCAATAAACTCTTTTTCTCGTCAACTTTCCTTTTCATGTTGTTTGTTTCTTTATCCTGCACCCTGACATAATGTACGTACGGGGGTCTAGACAGTCACATGATTAACCATGTGACATATTTTTGTAGCGATTAATTTTTCTCTCCGAGTTATCTTTCTTAGTACACAATATTTCACCCAAATACATTAAATTTTATAAATCTTATTCAAACAAAGCTAAGAGTTGCACGGCATATTTGGCTCCATTTTTGAGATTTGCTTGGACAAGCATTAAGTTGTTTAACTAAAGAGACATCACTTCTTTACTGAACAGCTGCTGAAGGAGACACCTATTTACCTATTTAAAAACGTTTAATAAGTATATATACTTGAATTGGGGGGGGGGTGTTATTTATCTTCAAATGATTCAAGATCCGGGGGCTCGTCTTTTGAAATTTTAATTTTTGTAAAATAATAATAATAATAATAATAATTTCTTTTAATTTTAGAATACATGTACGACAAGTCGACAAACTAATATTACACTGTCAGTTAAGGAATAATACAAATGAATGAGAAATTTTTGCATTAACTTATCTATCCAAAATGGAAGCTGGGGATAAAGAATAATAAATCTAGATATCGAATGATTATGACTTTATCCCATTCTCTTTTCCTAGGTTCACTATTCCCCAACTTTAAGAATGATACAGACGATACCAGTAGAAACTGGGTAATTTTATCTTCCACGTACCTGTTATGCGCACATTTTTCTATACCTGAATTTCGAATACATGTGCGCAAAACGGGAACATTTTCAGCCTTGTAACCGAGACACAATGTATGTTATTTACATGTATGTCTCTGCGGGAAAAGAAATAGTTAAATAATTTGACCGAAATTTATTGATCCAGATGGGTCGGAATGACGCACTGAATGACGGAAGACATGAGGATGATATGATTATAATTTCCCCCTTTTTACTTCAGAAACATCGATGTTAGCTGCTTTAGTAATTATTACAGTTTCTTTTCTTTGTTTCCTGTTTTACCTGCATCTCTCTTATTTACTTCATATGAATGAATTCATGCATAATCTATTATTTCAGTGCGCTCATGCGTGAAAATAACTTTTATTTTAAAATTGCAAATGGCTGACATGCAGTATATGTGAATCAATCCTTCCCACACAGCTATCTAGGATGAGTTATGAAAAAGTCGGGAGAAGTCGCAGCAACACCAAGAGATTTACGAAAACGCCGTGAGATTTTGACAATTCTGCCAAAATCCTGGGAGGCTACTACATGTATCACGGATTCCGAGAGACACGATATAAATGGAAAGGTAAATACTATTTTATCTTGCAGCAACCAGGATTTTAATTTTTCACTCGTATCGATCACTAAAAAAATTCAAGGGCTTTACATTTTCTTAGATCATTGTGTAAAAAAAAAGTCAAGTCAATGACCAAGCTTGATTCACATTTAACGATTTATTGTGAAGCAAAAAAGGCTACATGTACAGAAAGCTTGCTACTCTTCCCGGTTTACCGCGACCGGAAAATTTTATTCCATGCATGTATGTCCTATGTTTTATTGATTTGAATTAAAAATACGCAAGAAAATAGTTATTTGTAATAAAGGCTTTCCTTACAAAATAAAAATACTATAGCATGAAATTTTGTAATTGCTTAATTTTTCCTCCAGTTTACTATAGAATATGATTCCACTTTTAAAATCATATATATATATATATCATCCTTACAATGTCAAGGTTTTGTGATTTCGGAATACCACACAGACCCTTCTTTAACGTTTTTACTCGGACAGTTTTTATAACAAAGAACGGATTACTTTAGCCGAAGCAAAATAATTTTGACGTGTCGTACTAATTGCCTAAAAAGAGTAATTTCTAAAGAGCCGAAGACAGACTGCATCTATTTTAGATAGGAATATACAGAGATTTTTTAAAGATTTAAAATTTGTGGTTGACAATTTCATTAAGCTTCAATGTATTTGGCGTTTTACAAAATCTGGGGTGTAAAAAGATTCTTCCTAATGTTATACTCAATGTTTTGCATTCTAAAATGAAATGGAATTTGTCTGCTATTTTCCCTGAATTATATAATGTACATAGTCTATAATTCCACGGAATATTAGAAGGTTGCAAAACTACCAGTTGGTGGTTTGAAGGCAACATAGTACTTTAGTAAAGAAATCAGTGTTGGGGAAATATGCAATTAAAGTGTCCAATTGAATTATCTTGCTCAGAAATTTTAAGAATGCTAGATTTGTTTACAGATTGAGTATACATAATAGATTTATAAAGGAGATGGGGAAACAAGGCGATCAAAATGTCCATAGTTCGACAAACATGAAGGTGAAAAAATAAATCTTAATTATAACAAATTTTTTCTTTGATATTTCATCTAACATTAACGTATACTTTACGTAAAATCTCCACAATTTGCAAAAATCGCACAAAGATTGAAATTACTTGCCTATGAAATACATGTAGCATACACACCGTGACACTAAAGAGGACAAAAAAGACCATTTTCTTATACTATTACTCGATTTTTTCGATATGAGTGGGACTTCGCTCCATTTTTTTGAAAGTGTTTATATATCATCAAAGTTTGCATAAAAATATACATGTTTGATTTACAAAAACATGTAGCAAAGACCCACTTTACCTAAAAAATACATTTTTATGACACAACATTCGCATCTTTCTGAGAAATACTTAAGTCCATTTAGTCAAGGATCACATTACAAACATGATATAAATGCCATTATTCATCAGGAGTTGTATAGGGTAGTGGTTAGCGTGTTAGTCTGAAAGGAAAATGATATACAGGATTTTTATAGCTATGGTTCGAATCCAGCGAATACCACATTATTTTTTTAATAACAGAATAACTTTTGCCGTGAACATTTTCCTAATAAAAGTTTTGTTTTTTAATAATTTCATAAATTTCAATAATGAGGACTTTACTCTAATTATATATATAAATACTAAATTCACAAACTGAATATGATTTTTATATATCTGAACCTATAGGCATTCTGCACGCTTTGTTCAGTCACATCTTTATTTTTAACCGGGTTTTCCTAGGAAAATTCACTTATTGAAATGGTGAAAATGGACGGCGGACGGGCGGCTGCCAAAAGGATACAACATTTGTCCGGATTACTCCTCCTACAGTATTCAAGAAAGGAACTTTTTTAATTTTGCACATGAATGAAGACATATCAGAGATGTGCTTGGTACTTAGATTTTGATTTTTGGTTATTTATGAGAAAAGTATATCATTTGTCGATTTTAATCATTTTTATGCTTTCAGTGTACATTATGTGTCTATATAACTCCTACAATTTCCAAGGTGGAAAATTTTAATTCTGCAGATCAATTGTACATAATTATATCAGAGATGTGCATGGTATTTGGATTATGAATTTTGATAATTTATGAGAAAAATGCCAGTTGTTGAACTTATTAATTTTTATGCAAAATATTGCATATAGAGTATTCCTACAGTTTTCAAGATCGGGAGTTTTTATTTTGCAGATCAATTGTACATATCAGAAATGTGCATGGTCTTGGATTCAACGCTTTGAAGACCGCGTGAACAATAGATACTAGTATATCCTGTAAACCCGAGATTCCGTGTCTGCCTACAAACCACTTGTGGTTGACAGCCATAGAATGATTTATTTAACGTTCTGAATAAAGAAAAAACATTTCGGATTTTCAGAAATCCATCTTACTTCTGATTTTCTTCATGTTTTATTCTATGTGTAATTGAGACTTGTACTTCTAAGAATGAGAATAACGCGTCGCTCGGAATGGTAAATGTTTTAGAGATGTATGATAGCACTTGAAGATTGCCATCTTATCTCAACAACACAGATATTCCACCCGAACAACTCATCAATCCTACACACCTCTGTATTTTTCAGATCAAAATGTCTAACCCACATAAACAGAGGTTCTGCGAGCAGACAAAATGCCTCTTCATTTTGCTAGTAGCAGTTATAGCAGCTATTGTCCTAGTGTGTGTACTAACATTTACTGACAAAAGTTTTCGAGCGAAAGTGAAACCGCCCAAAGAATTAGAATGGTGGAAAACGAGCATTATTTATCAAGTTTATCCACGTTCATTTCAGGATTCTAATGGCGATGGTACCGGAGATTTAAAAGGTCAGATAAACATATTTTTAAGGTTTACAAGTGATGATTTTGCTTATTTTACAGACAAATCTTTAAAAAGAACTTTCTCATTTATTTTCTTGATGTAAGAATCAAATAGAATCCTTAGTTCGTAGACCATGAATGTTCACGAGAAAAAAGAAGGGAAAAAAAAACAATTACAAGGGAGGGGGGGGGGGGGCAGGCATAGCCAAAAATAATACGCCTAAATGTTGCATGTAAGGAATTTTATAAGGATACTTTCTGCAACAACAGCCCTAAGAGAGTGGACATTGCATCTTTACAGATTCTGCCATTAATTACTTAAAAGACGCTACAAGTATTTTTAGCAAATGGTTCCTTTGCTACAAAATCTACTGTCTTATAAATGAAAATCTCCGGATCCTTTACGCCAAAAAAAAAAAACCAACAACAACAACAAAAAACAAACAATAAAAAGACAAAAAACCAAAACAAAATTAATTAAAAATTCATGCATTATACATCAAAACAAAACAAACAAACTCTAGGTCTGGTTAAAAAAAAATCAGTACACTGTATAAGCAATTTGTTATATTAATTAGTAAAACTAAATTGTATACACCATTCTTTACAATTTTTAAATTGTTAAATGCCGCATGTACAATTCTCTATTGAACATTTGTCAAGTCCTGATACTGAAGTGGATTTCAAATTTTGATAAAATTTCTTGAAACATAATGTATTTTCCTTCTTAGCAAAAATAATGGTGATTTTGATAGTTAAAAAAGGGAGAAATAAAAAAAACAAGAAACAGTTAAGCAAGGTCGGAATGCTTTAGATTAAAAGAAATAAGATGTGTTTGTGAAACACTGATGTCCCCGTATGGCAACTTAGGGCAAAGGTCTAAGTTTTTCAAATTCAAGTCAAATCAAGATCAAGAGATCAAAAACGTTGTTACCCAAAGAAATCACTTGTGTCAATGGATATACTGTAAAACAACCTTTATTCGCGTGCGAGAAATATTCACGAGTTTCGCGACATACTTTTTCTCGCGAATATTAATCGCCGCGTACCATTATTTTGCTTTGTATTTGTAAAGAATGTTTTCTAAATCGCGAAAATTAATCGTCGCGGATTGATTTGAAACTGAAGAATCGCGAATAAAAGTTGACGCGAATAATAGTTGGTTTACAGTACCCAGGTTGGTAAATATGAAAGCACAAGCACCAACCATTCAAAAGTTATAGCCAAAGTTAATGTTTTCTAGAAGTGGGTCAAACTCCAAGGTCAAGGCCAAAGGGTCAAAATTAATGGTACGCAGGGGAAGACCTTGTCATAAGAAAGACATATGCAAGATATAAAAGCCGTAGCACCAACTGTCCCGGCAAAAGATATGGCGAAGGTTAAAGTTCGTCAAAAGTAGGTCAAACTCCAAGGTCAAAATTGTTGGTATCAAAGGAAGGTCTTGTCACAAGGAATATACCTGTGAAATTTGAAAGTCCTAGTACTAACTGTTCAAAAGTTATGACCAATGTTAAAAGTAAGTCAAGGTCAAAAGGTCAAAAATATTTACACTCTGGAAAACCCTAGCACCAACTGTTCAAAAGTTATAGCCAAGGTTAAAGTTGGGTAATTTTTTGCAAAAGTGGGTCAAACTCCAAGGTCAAAGTGGTCAAATATGGTCAAATAATTACCTAAAGGAAGGTCTTGTCACAAGAAATACGCATGTGAAATATGAAAGCAATAGCTCCAACCAATCAAAATTTATAGGCAAGGTTAAAGTTTTTGCGGACAAACATACAGCTAGACAGACAGACAGATGGACGGACCGGGCAAAACTACATACCTCGGATCTTCGATTACGGGGACATAAAAAAAAAACCACGCACGGGTCGAGTAATCAGTAACTAAGCACAGGTCGAGTAACTATACAAGGGGAGAAAACTGTTTACAGAAAAAAAATCTGATAAAAACGATAGATCTTCTACCGGTAATCGATTTCATTTCATAGAAAAGCGGGGTCGTTCAAACGATCTCATCTATTTATCGAAAGGGTATCTCGAAATGTTTCCATTTTAAGGTTGATTTTCTCGAAAATTATATTTTACCTGATCTCACATCTTCTCTAACCAAGGGTTTCCGTTCCGAAATCCACTCTAGATTTTGGTTCGGAAACACTTGGCTATTAAGGATGCTCATCTCATTGATGTATTTTTAAAATCACATGATCAATAATTCACAAAATTACGAACCATACCAATTTTAGAAAGTTCAATGTCTATGATACATGTATAACATGAAATTCACAATTTTTATTTATTATTTTCAAATATTTTTTAATACTTTAGTTTGAAAAATATGCAAATGTACTTCCTATAGGTGTAACGAGTCGCCTTGACTATCTGAAAGATTTGGGTGTGGGCGCCATATGGTTGAGTCCCTTTTACAAGTCGCCTATGAGAGACTTCGGGTATGATGTTGAGAATTACACCCAAGTCGACCCTTTGTTCGGTACTATGGATGACTTCGATGAGCTGATGAGAGAAGCTAAGAAAAGAAGTACATCTGATTCATCAATATCACTATTTTAAGTAGCAAAATTCACCTCTTGACTTCAGATTAGAACTTATAAAAAAAAATAATCCCCAAGCAATTTTTTTTGTGTGTCCAGGCAGGTTTTGATATATAGTCTTTTCTTTTCTTTTTTTTCTTTTATAAATTAACTTAAAAATATTGATGTACACAATACATTGACGTTGTATAATTGTGTGTAGTGATCTAAATTAAAGCTATCTTAAATGCTCATGTACATAAGTTTAAATAAAGATACATGTAAACAAGGAATGCTGTTAAACAAAAAAAAATATTTAAAGTAAGACAAGAAAACGGTTTTAACATACTTCATGTTATGTTAATGTTATGTTTATACATGGCATCAGTTCTTTAAAAAAAAAAACAACCTAAGAACATAAGTTTGTAATGAAATGAACATTTTTCTCTGTATATTCTTAGACTTGAGAGTACTAGTAGACTTTGTTCCGAACCACACGAGTAACGAGAGCGTTTGGTTTAACAACAGTCGCCACAGTGTCGGGAAATACAGGGATTACTATGTATGGGACGACGGCATAAACTGCTCCACATGTTCCGAAACCAACTTCAAAAAACCTCCAAATGACTGGGTGAGTTACTTTTTCCCTCTAAGTCGATATGTAATTGGATAATGTTCTTATTTTGGGAGACTAGTGCCAATATTTAGATCAGAGTACAGCGTAGTAATAAATTATTATATAACCTGTATACTTTCATGTTTTCTAAAGATTCAAATTTGTATATATTTGGTATACTTGTTACGAACACGCATTTCTGATTGTATAATATCCTTAGGATATACATAAGGTCCAATTTTACAGACAGTTTATCTGTACTTGTACAGACCAGCGCCTTTCGAGGTTCAGCGTGGACGTATGATAAAAACCGGAAGCAGTTTTATTACCACGCCTACTTGGATGCACAGCCGGACCTCAATGTTCGGAACCCTAAAGTTATAGAAGAATTGTCGGTATATTTTTAGAAACAGCGTATTTTAAAAGTCTTTGTTACTTTGATGTTATGCATGTTTAACACGTTTTTTGTTATTATAGTCCCCAACAACTTGATAACAGTACATGTTGAATTTAGCATTTAAATCCTCAATAAAATTAAATTTATTTTTGGGGGGTTAGGGGTGTTTGTTTGCTTAACGTCCTATGAGCAGTGAGGGTTCTTTTTCATGCCAGCACCTACTGCGACTCGGGACTTTGATTTATACGGTGTCATCATAAGGACTGGTCTCCGCAGCACACATTAGATTCGAACCCGCGACTTAAGGATCAACTCCCTTCTCGGCGACTCTAGAGCAAATGCTGACGACCCGGGGGTGGGGGGTGGGGTCGGGAGGGGGTAAAAATAGTTAAAATTACGGTATATGATACATGAAGAAAGATCATAGATGTATGCAGTTTGTACCAAATTCTCCATCCAGCACCTCTTCAGATATTTCAATCTACAGTACATACCGTTATTTTTTATGCCTCTGTTATTGTAGATTTGGGGATACATGTATATAGTATTTGGTTTATCCGTCTGCCTTTCTGTTTGTCCTTTTAAAAACTGGAAATAACTTGTGAATGGTTATTGCTAAGGCTTTCATATTTCACTTTTTTTTTCTGGTGACAAGACCTTTCTTTAGACACGAACACTTTTGGTCTCTTGACCTTGGAGTTTGACCTACTTTGACCTTTGCCACAATTGTGACAAGAACTTTCTATGGATACGCCATTTTTTACCACACGACCTCAGAGTTTGAATTACTTTTGAGAAATTTTAACCTTGGCCATAACTTCTGAACGGTTGTTGCTAGGGCTTGACAGACCTTTTTTGGGGGATACCATCATTTTTTACCTCTTGACCTTGGAGTTTGACCTACATGTACATGTATTTTTGAAAATGTTTAACCAAGGCCATAAGTTCTGGATGGTGCTAGAGGTTTAATATTTCATGTGTATCCTTGTGACAAGATCTTTCTCTGGAAATACCACCAATTTTGACCTCTTGACCTTGGAGTTTGACCTTCTTTTGAAAAAAGGTTAAGTGTGATCATGAGCATCCATAAAAGGGCATCAATGTTTAACGAACAGATTTTGTTTATACTATGAAATTCCCTTATTCCTCATCTTAGTTTTCAATGTTCTCCGAGATATCTCTGAAATTCTAAAAAAGATGTCGCTGGACTACAACATTCCTCTAAGCCTTCTACTTAAATCAGTATAACTACCTGAAGTGTACGTGTACATTGAAAGTAAAAAAAATCGTAATGGTAAGGACTAGAGTCATCGGACGTTTGCAATTTTTTTTTTTTTTTATTTATTTTTTTTTTTTTTTTTTTTGCAATCCAAAAGTAAACCCATATTCCGACGTCATTAAAGGCTTTTGTTAAGATTTCGAAATTTCTTTTATTCTGAAAACATCAGTCCTCTGCAAAGTTGTCCAGACATATGCATGGACTACTACATACTTTACATACACTTTATCATTTCTGTCTTGTCAGTTAAGTACATTTCAGGCATGCAGTATCGTTTTTGAAAGTGAAGGAGCCAGCCAGAAAAAAGAGGAAATTTTCGGGGGGAACTGTTTTTTCCCACAACCCTTTAATTTTACTAATACACTACCATGTTATAACTATATACCGGCAACAAAAAAGGGGCAACCAGCCTTTCAATCAACACATTTTCAACAGTAAAAAGTTATGTTTAAAAAAAATGGTAGGAACCTCACCCCCCTGCCCCTCCCCCCTCAGATACTACGTGCTTGCATTTTATCGAACATATTATAGAAAACAAAGAGGTTCTTTATTTCCTCACAAGTTACTAGAAGGCCTTACATATACATTTACTTAAATCTTTTCTATTGCCCCAAAGTAATAATTTATCTTCCCAGTTTCATACTTTTCCTCACTGGTTTGAAGGGAATATTGCATTCACACATACATGTGTATGTCACACATGTATTTCACTAATTTGAAATTTTTCAATTATTAGTGAATATATGATTAATTATAATTAGTCATGCTCAAAATTGTAAATTAGTGAAAGACAAGATATTGCGTTAAACAGAGCAGAATTTTTTTTAGCTTGATATTCATTTATCTGTTTAATGAAGTGTTATCATTACCACAAAACATTATCTGTTCAATGAATTAATTGAAAGAAGAAAATAACTGAAAGACCTTCAGTATTAATTTTAATGCACCTTATAAATATATGTTCATGACTTTCCAGGAATAAACGTGTAGCCGATACAGTGAAATTTAAATTGAAAGTTATCCTCTCTCGATCATTGTCCTCGAGTTGAAAAGAGTCCTCTTTATGCATTGATTTTCTCCCACAATTTTAGAATGTTTTACGTTTTTGGCTGCATAAAGGAGTAGATGGATTTAGAGGTGATGCCATACGAAAACTCTTCGAGTTTCAAGATTTGCACGAAAATGAAAATGGCATAAAAGTAAGTTTATAAACTGTTAACAACACCTTTTGTGCCTTACAAATAGAGAAAGTAAGTCAAAAACTTCAATATACATTGGGTTTTTTTAAAGAATTTGACCAGAAATCTTCGTGAAATATATCCAGTAATGAAAACATGGAAGGATGTGTTGAACAAGCACGGCAGAAGAAATGGACAAGAGAAGTATATTGCCAATCACTCATTTCTATCATACTTTAAAATTTTATTTTTATTTATATAATTCATAATAAAAATACGGAAGTAAATATTTCAAAAAAAAATTGATTCATTACCTTGTAGAATATTGATAGCAGAATCATACGGAATTACGAACGAGATGCGAGATTCGTACTACGAGGTGGACACAATACCATTCAATTTTGCATTTGTTCAGAAACTTAACCGATCTTGTGAAGCTCGCTGTATTCATGAAATTATACACTCTTCCCTAATGGATCTAAAAGAAGATTGGTGGCCTAATTTTGTGGTAAATACTTAAGTGTTAGATAAACTAGCATGGATAAGTTGAAAATGATACTTGGAACGTAAAAAAAAAAAAATCAGCACCACATCATTTTCAGAAATGTAAAATTTGATTCCATTTGTAAAAAATAAGATATTTGTAGCAACTATCATGATTCATCAGTTTACCGAAAGTTTCTTGTGCAGCTTTTTTCTTTTACTTAGGTTTCGAATAGTTCCGTAAGGAATTTGATAACTTTCGTAAAATGCCAAATTTAATGGATCAAGATCATATTATACATGTACATTTCTGTCAGTAACGTTTTAGAATGATAGGGGGAATTATTACAATTAAATGAATCATCAGTTTGTTTCTTCAGCTAGGAAGTCACGACGTATCTAGAATAGCCGACAGAATGGGACCAGAATTAGTTGATGTATTTAATATGCTCCTGTTGACGCTACCCGGTACACCAACAACATATTACGGCGAAGAACTAGGAATGAGAAATGCATTCTATACATTAAACGAGAGTCAAGACCCGGCTGGACTGAATTACAAGGTTATATAAGATAGATAGATAGATATTCATTCGCTAGCCAAGGGTTGTGAGGAGGATATTGCTTGTCTTGAACAATAGTTCTATCTTCACATGTTCCCCCTCCAGTTTGTCGCTTATTACATTTGGACACTGCTATTTTGCAAAAATCTTTTAAAATAAATATCTATATCTACAATAAAAAGGGAATAAGAAAGTTTTATTTCATTTTAAAATCTTCAATGCATACCAACCTTATATATTTACAGTTTTGGGCTTTTACAGGGTGATTATCTAAAGCACACACGGGACCCAGAACGGTCGCCGATGCAGTGGAACTCCTCCACAAACGCTGGGTTTTCTAATGGAACCCCGTGGTTACACGTGAACCCCAATTACCCAGTTTTAAATGTAGAAGTTAGTGAAATCACTTTTCATTTTCTTAATGTATTAACCTCATTACGTTTTTTTTAAAGAAATGTTATGTCATACAATAGCACCAAATTTTCGTAACTTATTATTTTTTTAGGAACAAATTTCCGTAGATACCTCCAGTTTAAACACTTATAAAAGACTTGCTAAACTGAGACAGCATCCATCTTTTACCAACAAGAAAATTATTTTCTCAACCGTTAACGACAACATCATCTCATATATAAGAACCGATGCTGAAAAACCAAAATACTTGGTTGTTATGAATTTTGGGTCACGTGATTCTACAGTAGATTGCAGTGGCCCTCCTCTGGTTGCTTCAGAAGGAAAAGTTGTCTTTTCTATTGGCAATTCTCTCACAGAAACTTCAACAGACAAGACTGGAAATATCATAAACTTAAAGACAATTTCTCTGAAGAGAGGGCAAGGGATCATTGTTAAAATATGAAAAGCGTTTTGCTTCCATATTATGTCCCAGAGGTACATAAAGAATATGGCAAATTTGCTTTACTCTCTTTGCTCATAATTACAATTATCGTTCTGTTTGATTTTCCTCTTGCCAATTTACATTTTTACTTCGGGACAGAAGGGTAAGAACAGTTTTAATTAAGCCAGAAAAGGTCAACTGTTGAAATAACCTTTAAATTCTCTGTAGCATACCCAAATAAAGTTGACATCAATGAAACAGAGTTTGCGACTTCTGAAATTTTTAGCTGATTTGAAATTGTTCATTACTTTTGCCTCCACCACAGTAAAATTATGTCCCCTATGGCGCCCTATTTCTAAGTATGACGGTTAGAATACGTTTTGCATGTTTGTTTTGTATCAAGTCTGATTAAAAACAGATCTTTGTTACGCACCAAAATTCTGATGGTCGTTGTACATCGACCATCAAAATTTCGGAGCATAACAAAGATCCGATTTTAATCAGATTGGGTTTGTAGCAAGATGAAGCGAAAAACAAAGTTAAAGAAATAAGTGACACACCAAATCTTTTTTGCTTCTTGAGGTTTTTATGTTTCAAGAAATCAACACCTATTTATAGAAATACATGTACAAAGAACAGTCTCTCACTTTTTTTTCTCAGTTCAAATGGCTTATTTGGAACCCTCTGCAGTGTTTATGATACACGTCTGTCCATGTCCATACAACAGATATACAATATATTAACTTTTCAGGAAAAAGATTTAATAAGGCAAAATTATTTATAGCAATTCTATTTTTAGAACCGATGTAACAATTTGTGAATCTTCAGGAAAAATCAAAATTGTTATAAATATTTAAACAATCTTTAAGTATATCTCTTTTGAAATTGAAAGACCTGAATAAGCTTTTTTGCATTTTTCGTAGAAAGCAATAAGTTTGTTAAGAGATTCCAAAGCTTAAAAATAAAATTTATTTCGGTTGAACTTAAGAATAAAATTATTTCCTTTTGTGGGAACTACAGTAATGTTAAGGATGTGTGGCTTGAAGGTTACGCAGGGAAGTTGTTACTTATTCTGGCGTTAAAACTCTGCACGGAAAAGTTTGATTTTATGAGAGTACCTTTTTTTTTTACAGATTGATTCAATTCTATGACTCTCTGCATAGCAATGTGCGCAACAACAACAAAAAAATACATGTATATTATTTGTGATTCAGTGTTTATTATTATTATTATCAAGTGCAGATACAAAAGAAAATTGTTTAATAAAATGTCAAAAGAATCTGTTCGACATTTAATCAAGTTTTCTTACTGAGCATGTCCCTGATTAACTCTAAGTTTGTGCACTCAAAATGTATATGATTAACGATTTGCTGAAATAACCTTTATATTTTCTGCAGCATACCCAAATCAAGTTGACAACAATGGAGACAGTGAATGCTAAATTCTGTAACATTATGTCCCAATAGTTCCTAAGTTCTAAGAATTATGGCTATAGAATACATCTTACATGTTTGTTTTGTAGCACGCTGGAGCGTAAACAAACGAAATATGTGTCACACCAAATCTTTTTTAGGTTTTATGTTCCAAGAAATCAACGCATATTTATAGAAATATGTATAAAGAACACAGTTTCTCACTTTTTTTGTTCGCCAAGTTGTCTTTCTTGGAACTCTCTGCAGTGTTCATAATACATGTCTGCCCATGTTTGTTTCACCATGCAACAGATACTGTATATACAATATCATATGAATTAATTCGACTTCCTCTTTTTATACCTTTTCAGGAAAAAGATTTACAGTGAAAATTATTTATAGCAATTCTATTTTTAGAACCGATGTAACAATAAGTGAACCTTCAGGACATTTAAAGATTGGAAAGACCTGAATAAGCTTTTTTGCATTTTTCATTAAAAAAAACAAAAAGTTTGTAAAGAGATTCCAAAGCTTTAAATTTGATTTTAATAAGATATCAAAAGAATCAGGTCGACATTAAATTAAGTGCTCTTCCTAAGCGACTGTTGCAGCTATGTCCCTGATAAACTGTAAGTTTGTACACTCAAAATGTAACGATTAGTTACAACAATCTGTCTTGAGAACCGGTACATGTATCTAGGTATGGAATGCATGTAGTGTACTATTCAAAAAAGGAATATTGGTTGTTTCATTTCTTTATTGATAAAATTCAAATGTCTGTACACCAGGATCTTCATACACAATTTCATGCATATTGGTCAAGTAAAAGTTCTCTAGGACACGTTGATTACACAGTTTCGTGTCTCGTTTGTTGCTCACTATGTTACAGTTCGTAGTATCCATCTCCATTGGTTCCTCGTGGTCAGGCACAATAGACTCGCCTTCTTCCTCTCTCCCTCTCCAGCCTGCATTCTTTGGAACATAAGGTCCACTCTCGATCTGGCCACCTTTCACTGATAACTTGGCCATCTCGAAACGGTCAAAATAATCCAAATAAGGTGAAAGTGGATCGTCAAAATTGGGTGTGTGTAATACAAATAATACCGCCTGAACACAATCGTCAAATGAATAACAAGTTGAATTCCATTCATCGTCATCCAGTATACTTATGCATACTTTTAAATCAACTGAAATATCTTCTAGAGATTCTTCTGATAAAATGTCTTCTGAGAATTCTTCAATGTTTGGATGGAATATTAGAGTCTGACATGTAACTGTGGGTGGATAATTAGGCCAATCCTGACTCGTTGTGGCAATCTATGAGAAAAAATTGTTATAATTATTGAAAGTTGTAGATAATTAAAGTGTATAATTGCAAAATACAAACAGAAGTATCTTAGAAAATCAATAATTACGCCATGCAGTTTCAATATTATGAAAGACTCAACTTGTATAAATAGAATAGAGTTCTAAGAAATATAAATAGCATATAAGAACGCAACAATTCTTTTAGCTTTGTGAGAAAGTGGATTAATTTATTTAATTACATGTAACAATATGTTTTTATTAATAATAAAATTGAATTTTTAATATATATATATATATATTATTTATATTTCTGTAATTAATGTCTGTTTGCAAACTAAAGAAGTACCTTAAAAATATATTTCCCTGAACAATATGGTCCACCTGACGGAGATATTTCAACCTGGAAGCTGAATTCGTCATCGTCACTCTCATCTGACCATGACAAGACGCGGGCCTGTCCGTCTATAAATAGAATCACATCATAATATAAATAGAACGTATATAAATTTAGACAGTGTTCAAAACTTAACCCGTTTAATATGAAAACAATTAAGCAGTTAGTGGTACAGACGTTTACTAGTATTTTGCAGAATCCATGGATGCAAATAACAAGAGATAGGCCTATATGGGTTGATGTACATGTAAACATGTACATGGAGATACATACAGTGTAACATATGCAGATGGAAATTGTTTCATATGGTAATCTGGCCAATTACATGATCTTTGAACCTACCTGAAAAACTATCGATAGTTTTCAGTAATTTGAAGAAGTCCTTCATTAAACTCCTTTTCAGTGCCATGATTTGAATGAGAAAAAACGCGCCAGTGTTTCCTTTTATATTAGCTTGTTTTGGAACTAAAAATAGATCTTATACTCTCAAGGAAATTCCCAGATAGACTGGCAATTTTTAAAGACTGACAATGCAATGTGACCCATAACATTCGGGGAAAGAATCTAAATTTAAACTTTGGATATTTAAAGTTATGAACTTAGCCTTAAATTTTTAATGATTTATACTCGATACACTTGTATATAAATATATAATTGATGGAATGTATTATCTGTAAATTTGCCAATAATTATATACTGTGATATAAGCTTACGTACATGATCACCACTTCCGAAATTCTAAGGGATCCATAATTTTTCGAGATTTTCAGTTGCATGTTGTCGATGTTTATGATTTGACAGTGAACGTAATTTTTTAGGACAAACTAATTTGCCGATCGTCAAAAATACGATATATATATTTATTTTTTAAAGCGTTCCACTGTTAGACTGTGCTAGATTATGTACTGTTATCTTATTCTCTTTATCCTTCCTGGTGCTTATCCGCATCACTCTCAAAATTTACACTCATCAGTCAAACATGAGATTTCTTTCTTTTTTCAGTCTTTCATATACCCAAACTAGGCGTTGCATAAAATGGTTAATATGCAGCAATGAAATTTTGTCGAAAAATCCTTCGACATTATTACTGCATTGTTAATTTAGATTCATATGAAAGTGTAACACGATGAGCGTTCAAATTATAATTTTAATTGATATATTAAGTTTGTACATTGAGTTTATTAATATTTAAAATATTGTGTTTTGAATTATAATTGATACTATCAGTGTGTAGAGCGACGGACAATAACTTCTTAATTATGATCTTGTTTACAAACTCTGGGAGATTGGATGCAATAAGTGAGCGTCTTCATTTGACGGACAATTAGTTTTTACGATGTGTTGTTCTCTAACATTGACACTTCCAATCAGACTTTGTGCAAAGCTGCAACCATCTAATTAACTGAAGAATGTGCAAGATACACAATGTTAATGTAAACAGAGGACATTGCCGTATCCTATAAGGAGATGAGACAGCTTCAGTGAGGGGCGGACTTTATTAATATTAATTATGTGACACTGTAACTTATACTGATTGTTATTACCAAATACGTGATCCCTATGATGCAGCTTCTTGTACAAAAGATGTACGCACTGAGTATCAATAGCTTTTAACATCTTAGCTCTAAGACTGACTACGAGAGCTTTTTACCATCTTAGCTCCTAGACAGAATATGTGAGCTTTCACCACCTTAATTAGCTCCGAGAACGGCAGCCATTGAACTTTTTTATGTACCATTGTTTTGCCTTTGCTGTGACTTTATAATAAAACTATAAACTTACAAAAGTCTTCTTAATCCAAACACATTGAGTAATTGTGTTATAAAAGAGAACAATCATATAAGAACATATGAATGAAAATATTCTACCCAGTCTGTTTTTTCAAAACTTTTTTAAAAATAAAAATATATTAGAAAATATGTTAATTTTCACCTTATTTTCAATACCATAATGTAAAACAAAAATGGACTTCGTTTTATTGATTGACATTGCGTTGTACATGTCGTGCTGTGCAATAAAATGCAGTTAAATTCCTATTATGGTAAACAGTATAAATTCTCTTGAAAACAAAAAAAAATCCACTCATGAGTCAAAAAGGAGTGTTTATTCTTTTGGATCTTTTGCGCATACCCAAACTAGTCATTCGATGAAAAAAAAGCAAGCAACATGTAACTTTGCGAAAGTCCTTCGACTTAATTACTGATTGTTAATTTTGATTCATATCAAAGAAAACAAATATTTAAGAATATGAGAATAAAAGAAATGCTCTCTAGTCTGTTTTTGAAAACCTTTTTTATCAAAGCATAAAATGAAAAAAAAGTGTCTGTATTCAATGAGTTTTTAAATTCAATTAAGAAAAAAAAAATGACTAAGTTAATTTTGATTGCACAATTTGGCAGGCATCACATTGTATTGCAGCAGAGTGCAGTATGGTGCAATTCTACTTGTATTTATATAAGCACAATTATTTTATATAAGCACAATTATTTTACTTGTCAATGTAATAGAAATATTCCCCACCATCCACCCTCCAAAGACAGCTTTTATATACAATTTGTCCTTGTAATTGAATGTTTCTTTGGAAATTTGCATAAAGTAAGTTTTGTTTCAAAGTTCGATAACTCAAATTATGTCCCTTTGAACAACGTAGACAAAACGATCATTGATTTCTGCTTTATATTATGTAAATGTTTAAGCAATGCTTACGAGTAACAGGCTTGTATACTATATATACATGTAAGACGTTATAGAGATATTCACAAATGCCCGTGTGTTAAAGTCAGAGTAAATAACGGTTATGGGTAATGTCGCGTGTAAAGGACTTAGCGTGAGCTTATTTCACTAAACAAGTACTGCAAATATAAGCAGTATTGAAAAGCGTCCCTGATTGTTCTTCAAAGTCATCGGCGCTTTGTTTGAGTCTTAAAATATTCACTCATCAATCAAACAGGAAAGTTATATTTTTTTCACTGTTTGCCTAATAATAAAAATTGACCAAGTATGTTTTAATTAGAGAGTACATCAAGCGTTACAATGCAATGTAGTGTAGGACAGTTATATTTTTATTTAAAAGTAAAATTATTAAGCTTGCAATTAAAGAACTTCTCTCGACACTCCAATTTTCCTTGGGATGTTTCGCAATAAACCAAATCAGTCTTTCAATAAAACAAATCACCAAAAGTAACTGTTCTTTGCTTTGATGAGAACTTAGCTCTAAGTACTGTTATCAGAATATATTCTGTTTAGGCTTCCTGGTGCTTATCTGCATCACCCTCAAAATTTACACTCATCAGTCAAACATGAGATTTCTCTCTTTTTCAATCTTTCATATACCCAAACTAGGCGTTGCATAAAATGATAAACATGCAGCAATGAAGAAATTTGTTGAAAAATCCTTCGACATTATTACTGCATTGTTAATTTAGATTCATATGAAAGAGAACAATCATATAAGAACATGTGAATGAAAATATTCTATCCAGTCTGTTTTTCAAAACTTTTTTGAAAATAAAAAATATATATGAAAATATGTTAATTTTCACCTTATTTTCAATACCAGAATGTAAAACAAAAATGGACTTCATTTTATTGATTGACATTGCGTTGTACATGTAGTGCAGTGCAATAAAATGCATTTAAATTTTTATTATGGTAAACAGTATAAATTCTCTTGAAAACAAAAAAAAATCCACTCATGAGTCAAAAAGGAGTGTTTATTCTTTTGGATCTTTTGCGCATACCCAAACTAGTCATTCGATTAAAAAAAAAAAAACCAGCAACATGTAACTTTGCGAAAGTCCTTCGACTTAATTACTGATTGTTAATTTTGATTCATATCAAAGAAAACAAATATTTAAGAATATGAGAATAAAAGAAATGCTCTCTAGTCTGTTTTTGAAACCTTTTTTTTTTATCAAAGCATAAAATGAAAAAAAAAAGTGTCTGTATTCAATAAGTTTTTAAATTCAATTAAGAAAAAAAATGACTAAGTTAATTTTGATTGCACAATTTGGCAGGCATCACAATGTATCGCACTGTATTGCAGCAGAATGCATTATGGTGCAATTGTTCTTGAATTTGCAGTAGAGTGCAGTATGGTGCAATTGTTCTTGAATTTGCAGCAGAGTGCAGTATGGTGCAATTGTTCTTGAATTTACACAAGCACAATTATTTTACTTGTCAATGTGTTAGAAATGTTCCCCACCATCCACCCTCCAAAGACAGCTTTTATATACAATTTGTCCTTGTGATTGAATGTTTCTTTGGAAATTTGCATAATGTAAGTTTTGTTTTAAAGTTCGATAACTCAAATTATGTCCCTTTGAACAACGTAGACAAAACGATCATTGATTTCTGCTTTATATTATGTAAATGTTTAAGCAATGCTAACAAATAACAGGTTTGTATACTATATATAAGACGATAGAGAGACATTTACAAATGCCCATGTGTTAAAGTCAGAGTAAATAACGGTTATGGGTAATGTCGCATGTAAAGGACTTAGTGTGAGCTTATCTCACTAAACAAGTACTGCTTAGCAGTATTGAAAAGCGTCTTTGATTGTTCTACAAAGTCATCGGAGCTTTGTTTGAGTCTTAAAATATTCACTCATCAGTCAAACAGGAGAGTTATATATTTTCCACTGTTTTGCCTAATTATAAAAATTGACCAAGTATGTTTTAATTAGAAAGTACATCAAGCATTATAATGCAATGTGTTGTTCGACAGTTATATTTTTATTTACAAGAAAATTTATTAGCTTGCAATTAAAGAACTTCACTCGACACTCCAATTTTCCTCGGGATGTTTCGCATATATCCATATCAGTCTTTCAATAAAAAAAAAAATCAGCAAAAGTAACTGTTCCTTGATGAGAACTTAGCTCTAAAATTAGAGAGAGAGAGAGAATCGATGTGAAAAGTTATCATGAAATACTCGGTATTTATATAATGACAGAGGACAGAGATGTTCTGTTGTGACATTTAAGGTTTGCAGAATGCCCTCGAATGAATATTTGTACAGAATACATTCGTTTCTGGAAACAATTTAAATGTTATTTAGAGAGGGGGGGAGATGTGTGTTAATTAATACGGATAAATTGCCTACATTTTCGCGTCTTAAAGATTATTGCTGTTTTTGTTGTCATTATGATGATCTAGCCACATGAGGAGTACTTACTATATGAAACAAGCTGAAGGAAAAAATGATCACATGTACAGTGAGGGCAACAGCTATAGTTTTAGGAAGCATTTATAGTGTTCCCAGAAATTATTGAGAATTTTATCGTGAATTTTTTTTCATTAAAGGATTTTTTTATTATTTGATTAAGTTTTTTTTAATCAAATAACATTATTGCTACTTACAGTTTTCATAAATAACTCACCGTTTTCTTTGTACACAATTTCAGGTCGATTGCCAATGCTCAAAATGAGTGTTATTGAAAAAAGAAAGCTTATTGTAGAAAGCTAGAGTTATCAAAGATTTGTAAAACTTTAAGAAACTTTTGAAACACTGAGTATTCCGCTGTCTACTATAGATTCACGTGGAGCAAAAAATTCATAGATGGAAAGGAATTCGGCAGAGGGAAAGAGCTGGTAGGGCTATGGGAATGGAATCCCATTTTTTTTATTTATGCAGTGTTGTTCTTACTGAGCAAATATCAACGCTTTCTTTGATCTGTGAATGCCTACAAACTCTTTTTGAATTTCTTTTCTTTTTGAACAATACAGAGTAGACGGTGACATACTGAGTATTCGGTGTTTCAGAAATATCACCAGATTTAACAATCCGTTACTTATACATTACTGAAAAAGGCTTTCTACTTTCAATGGCAGTAATTTTGAATATCAGCAGACAACAGAAGTATATTAAATAAATGGGAGGCTATCCATAAAAACTGCATGCATCATTAGAAAGTGCGGGTTATTATCATTAAATAAAAAAGTAACATTAAATTATATTGTTTGTTATGAATCCAACGTATCATTAAAAAAATCTCAATAATCTCTGGGAACACTATACATACTGATTTCTCATGCGTGGGGTCAGGTAGGATAATTTCATACCAAGAAAATCTTAATTTGCAATTGCGATTTACATTTTGGTGAAATCAATAAAAGCGCAACTTATGCTTATCACTAATACTGGCATGATATTGAGGCAATAAATTTCACCAGTTTTGAGGGATGGATCCTAAATTTTGAAACTTCCAAATAAGGAAACTAATTCTTCAGAAAACAATTAGACGCTTTTTCCACCTCTTTCCCCTTTATTACCCATATATCATAAATGCGTTCAAAACTTGAGGAAAAAATATTGCAAAAAGGAGAAAATACTTTTTGAATCAATAAAAGAAACTTAGACAAATGTTCTGATTGGCAAAATCAAAATTGACCCAAGGTCTGATTTGAAGTTTAGAGAAATATTCTACGTCGCTATTGCGCTGAGTGGGGGGGGGGGGGGGGGGGGGTTGAAAGTATACTTGTAAGGTAAGTAAGTTATAAATATACATGTATAAAAATTACCCATTAGAAAGCCACCTTTCTGTGATATGAAGGTCAAGGTTAGAGTCATATTTACCATCTCTAAGTTTATCATGTTTTTATTGAAAGATCAGTGTTGCCTCGCACCATATGTATCTGATTCAGTGATTAACGTAAACTTACTGCTCTTTGGTCGATTTCACCCTTGACTATATAAATTGGACCGCTGCATGTTTAAGTTCCATTTTTCCGCGATTCGACACTGCTTTTTTGCTGGAAAAATCCTGCTTTTCCGATGTCGATCAGCGAGATTTGATCAGCTCAAATAGCTCAGTTGGTAGAGTACCCGTCTACAGTCGATTCATGGGGCCCGAGTTTGATGATCGAATCGCTGGTTACATTTGGTGCCATGACCAGGATGTGAAAGGTGAAAGACCTGCCAGTAAAGAGTCTTGGTTGGGATCTTCGGGGTAAAAACCTTTAAGGAGGTAGCAATGTGGCGGTCAGGCAGGTTTGATTGTCGGTGGTCAGATACAGCTCAGCTGGAAGAGTCCGAATCCTGGTCTACTTCGTTGCATTTTTCTCCCTCACCAGTCACAATACACAGTAGTATATGGATTTTTTTCATAAAAAGAGAATAGTGCTTCAATTTTATGATTCATGCCCATCTTGAAGTCTTCAAATTCAGGCACTGCATGATCATGAACAGTTGACATTGCATTATCTTTATAGGCTATATACATGTATATTGCATCTTCAGAGAAGCTCTTCTTTAAAAAAATGAAAGTGATAGGATACCCCCTCCCCCTTACATTTGTTTTTAAAGTTTGTTAAAGAATGATCCACATCGGGAAATTAATGTGATATTATATATAGAAAATTCTTTACAGATCTTGGGAAATATTGAATTGTTTCAGGAACGTACCTGGTCATAACTGAGTTATAATTTCATTTTTCCACTATACAGTATACATGTATATTTCATTGAAAAGTGCATTTTTCTAAAATATTATTGCAATGTTATTTGTGGTTCTTTTTTTCTTTTTCTTTTTTTTTTCTTTTTTTTTTTTTTTTACTAAAATACCATAAAAGGTACCGTATAATTATTTTCAGTTTCTTCTGATCTTCACATAATTTCAACATACTTGTATCTCACTATATCTGCAGCATTCGATCAAATGCATTAATTCAATTTAAAATTTTACGATTCCAGTTTGGTAAGAAATCATTATTTGAGGTTAGTAATTTTGCCTTGACGATTTCTTAAATCATTCTCAATCATTAGTCTATCATTTTGTTTAGCATTTTAAGACAAGAATATTTGAACATGAACAATTTTTGCATGATTCAGTGTAAAAAATCATGAAAATTGGGCTAAAATTGACCTCGCAATAAGTTTTTATATATGGGATATATATTTTTTATTTTTTTTAAAAATCTTAATAATGAATAAATCATGCTCTTATCTGTTAATTGTGTGTAAAAGTACATTAATTAAATATACGGTTAACTCAAAATGTGTAATTAGAAAACAAATCCGGAAATACCGTCATTGTTTTTGAATGGTATAAATTCATCGAGGAAAAACAAACATGGCGGAAATCGAGAAGTGGATTGAGGTAGCAAAAGAATGTAAATACTTGCCTGAAAATGACCTTAAAGTAAGTTATAATATCGGGAACATAACATTGTAATTGGTTTTCAAGTCAAACACCATTAATCTGTTATGGTAATGTTCTTTTCTTCAGATTTCTCATTTGAGTAACCAATGCACTAACTAAACACTGAAACAGATAAATGGAGTTATGATGGTTTACAAGTTTTCCCAGTTATTGAATAATTTATAAAACCTACAAACAATAAATTCAACTTTCATATGCATATTTTATGTGCTTACCATTTCTGTTGAGTGCCAAATAAAATACTTCTTGTCAATATTACAGAAACTTTGTGATATGGTCTGTGAACTTCTGCTTGAGGAGTCAAACGTCCAGCCTGTTTCTTCACCAGTAACAGTGTGTGGGGATATACATGGACAGGTATATAATCAAATTATTTAATAATAAAAGGTATAGAAGCTTAAATGCTTCAACAGGTCTAGGAAAATCACTATATTTAGCTATATAGCTAAATCTACCTATATAGCTTTATTTACCTATATAATATAGCTTTATTTAGCTATTTCAGAGTAAATTTCTGTTTTATGAAAAGCAGACAAAAAGTCGCATAATGAGGCAGTATTAGTTTTCAACTTTGAAATGGACTGAAAACAATTCACCAAAAACCCACTTTTAAAAATGTTTCTCCTTTTGTGCAATTGCAGTCAAAGATCTAAAAGTTTTGGGGCTATGTATAACAGTTAATCTGTGAATAAGCAGCTACTTTAACAAAGAAAAGTAGTTTTGGTCAACAAGATAATTGATTGGTAATAATTCAGCACAATGCAAGGCAATCACACTTAGTCATGCCTCATCGCACTTCCAGTAATGGACAGCTATCCAAACAATAGAGATGCATTTTTTGGTTAAAAAGTGTTTAAAAGAGGCAATGTTTTTACTATCTATGCCCTAGGTTGTTTTTATCAAACCTTTTTAAAAAAGTATCAGCCATAATTTTCATGCGACTTTTTGTTTGCTTTTCATAAAACAGAAACTTATTCTAAAATAGCTAAATAAAGCTATATTATATAGGTAAATAAAGCTATATAGGTAAATTAAGCTATATAGCTAAATATAGTGATTTTCCTGGACCTGTTCAATTGGGTCATATGGATTTGTAAAAGGTCATCTTTGCCAGCCAAGGGTTTTTAATCTGCTACTCTCCTCACAAGCTCTTGCTATCAAAATTCAGGATTTTTTTTCTCAAGTTGTGACTGGGGTAAATTGATATCATATGATCAATCTGAATCTGCTTCTTTTGGGATATTTCTTGACTATATTCTTGAAAATGAAAAACAAGCCAATGGTACATGCCATTCTATAAAAAGCTACATGTATGGTATCATCCATCATTAAGTTGATGTGCATATAATTTTATCTGAAATCTATATATTGAAGATATACATCTGCATCCTAAATAACAAGTAAACATTGCTCAATTTTTGCTCTATAGTTATTCTTCATATACTTTGATTTTTTAAAATGCTCTTCATTTCTGTCAATAACGCAAGCTGCGTGTATTAGGTAAGATTAGATGTAAACAATCCTGATGTTTAATAGCACAATAGCCCAAGGGTTTATGAGGAGAGAAGCAAGATCAGAACCCCTTAATTGGCTAGGGAATATGGTAAAAGGTCCATTCATCAGTGTTTTCAATAAGATTTTCAATAGAAGGAAATATATTTGGAACAGCAGGAAACCAATATCGGCGAGGGGTCAGGGGGCCGCATCAGGCCCCCAGCGTGTCCAGGGCAGAGCCCTGGTAGGGGGCCCAGGGGGACAAAGCCCCCTGGCCGAAAACGAAAATTGGCATTTTTGACTCATTTTTCTTACCTCTCAGGCCAATAAATTTTTCACATTTCTGTCGCTATCAATCACCAAATTTTACCTAATAAAGCCATTTAGAAAACAATTTGTACCGCTTTCACTGATTTGTTATATGGACTTTTGACGGACTGATTTTTTTCCCCTGAAAACTAGGTGTCTGTAAAAACATTAAGACAACTTAAGTATGAAATTCTAGCACAGACAATTGTTTGTGTTAGAATTTCATACTGAAAATGCTACATAATTAGTCCCTTTCACATTAACTGGTCAGGAAAATTATTCAAAATTAAGGAAATAATTTATTTAAAAATTTAAGAACTTTTTAACACATAGTGACATACAATACCCCCAAAAATTGAAATATTCTGCAATCTCAGACTAAAATATCATAAACCTTTCAATTTATTTACTATTTTGTACAGATTGTCAGAATGAAATAATTAAGAAAATGGATACAAATACAAAATACAAGTACATAAAAACCTTCTTAAATGTGAAATGTTGCAATGTTCCTGTATTTCAAGAGAACTAACACAAATAAATGAGAATACAAATTTACATTTTCAATTTGAGGAAATTCTGTAAGAATTACTTCCTATGTCCCACGTCTTAGTCACGATTAAAAAATTAAGACTTTTATTTGTAAGGTCTTAAAATTATATCAGTCTAGATATAAATGGTTTCTGTTGTGATAATCTTGACCTAGCTTGTGGAGTGACAGTGAATGTTAAAAAAAAAACATTTATTTTCCTGTTCGACAATTTAGGCCGTAGATACCTGAAGCTTGCGTCAGTGAAGCCCCAAATTCTCTATAATCATGATCATATCCTGTATAGCTAAAGTTAAATCGCAATCGTTGAGTTGTGAATTTTATATGAGGTTGGAATTATTCATTAAAAATTTATTCTTTAAACTTTACTCTCGCAAGTTATAGCCTTGTTTTGCAGGTTGCACAACAGTATTAAATTTTGCTATATATTCTTACCAAAAATGCGCAACTTTGAGTAGGTGGTATTAATTCAAAACAAACTTTTGAGAAGTTTCCTTTTCAGATCTTGTAAAACAATTCTTTATAAAGATTTTAGTACCAAAAAATACATAGGCATCCAGCAAGGCACGCAAGTTTGTTTCGTTGGAAGTCGAGCAGGTGCTTGAAAATCAAGTCCAGGACCTAATCACTCCCCACTCAAATACAGTATATAGAAAAATCAGCACGCCCTAAATTATAATGAATCTAGTCAATACAGGAAGTTTACATATTGTTTTTCATCTCATAAAAAAATTCAGCTCCAGTCTCGTGTTAAAATGCCCGAATCGGAAGGGAAGATTCAGGAATTATTTTGCGTCAGCCATGATTTGACGTGAACCTCAAGTGAAATACTGTTATGACACCTGCAATAAAACTTAAAATTTTTGCTTGCAAGAATAATGCTATTTTCCCGATCTGTAATGAATATTCAATGTAATAAAGCAAGTTTCATAAAAATCCGTCTCAAGGTAGGAAAAATATTTGCGACACTCGGTGACAGGGGTGTTCGCGGTGAACGCGGATTTCTAAAAATATGGCAAAAGTTGAACTGTATGTCATGATCTTGTGCGTTGAACTTTTGTTATTTTTTCGTCTCAAATTTTAAATTAATGCATACTGATTCACATAAGGATTAAAAATTATTTAAAATATGTTTGCTTTTTATTACAGGGCGAAAGAAGTAGTCTTTGTCATAGGGAAGGGGGGTGGAGTTAAAAAGAGCATTGAAATAATACATATTATTGAAATATCATGGCGTTTTCTGCTTAATTACGATTGTTTTGCCTAAATAATTCTTTTTTCTAACCAGATTTCTGCATCTGTTACCACTGTGTTCCAAATTAACCGATATTTACACAAATTGAGAATTTTTATTTTGCTCCGGGTTTAGTCTAAATTCTTTAAATTTATAGACTTTGAAATTGTTTATGAGTAAATACTGTTAACGAGTGTGATGGCAAGGTATTTGTTAAAGTCTCTTCTAATTTTCATGCATTTCTCTCAACCCGATACATCGAAATCAGGCCCTTGTGTGGTCAAGATAAATTATTTTAGAGGAAATCTGGACTAATTTTCTATGCTCCATTAAACGCGAACGAACGGCAATGACGGCCAAAAAATGCCATTATTTCTCATTTTCCGTCTAAACTCACGAAATTAAACCTTAAATTATAGACTACAATATTTCTAAGTATAAAATCTGGTTTTACTGCAGGTTGCACAACAGTATTAAATTTTGCTATATATTCTTACCAAAAATGCGCAACTTTGAGTAGGTGGTATTAATTCAAAACAAACTTTTGAGAAGTTTCCTTTTCAGATCTTGTAAAACAATTCTTTATAAAGATTTTAGTACCAAAAAATACATAGGCATCCAGCAAGGCACGCAAGTTTGTTTCGTTGGAAGTCGAGCAGGTGCTTGAAAATCAAGTCCAGGACCTAATCACTCCCCACTCAAATACAGTATATAGAAAAATCAGCACGCCCTAAATTATAGCGAGCGCAGCGAGCGGCGCGAAGCGCCGCTCGTCACTGCGAGCTCTAACGACAACGCCTGGGCGAAGAGAAAATTCGGACTACTGCACATTCATTCAATAGAATTTTTTTCCGCAGTAATTCTGACCCACAATGCATCGCTTCTTGTTCTCGCTGCTAACTTCGTTCACGCGGTGACAACAACTAAAATTTCACACAAAATTAACTCACCTTAATTTAATGGATATTGCATGCAGATAGTAGATTAAACGTTCTTAGTTAAAATATTTGCACTCTTTAAACTTTGTTTATGGAAATGCAGCTAACATACGACGTCATGTGACGTCACAGTCTGTCTCGTGCGGTTTGAAGAGGCGGATCATAATAATGAAGTGAACACTGCGCTCGCCCCAACGGTCGCACCGTCAACATATTAATGAATCTAGTCAATACAGGAAGTTTACATATTGTTTTTCATCTCATAAAAAAATTCAGCTCCAGTCTCGTGTTAAAATGCCCGAATCGGAAGGGAAGATTCAGGAATTATTTTGCGTCAGCCATGATTTGACGTGAACCTCAAGTGAAATACTGTTATGACACCTGCAATGTTGTACGTATTGGATCTAATCAAACTTCCATAAAAAAAGAGCGCACTCAAGGGAAGTTACTCTATATCATATAGATAGTTGCGATAAAATCTACGGATTTCGCTTACCAACCCCGGCAAAATCCCAATTACGGAAATCTCACAGCCGGCAAAATTTCTCTTACAGGTGGTTAATTTTGCTGGTTGCCGGCTCTTATTGAAAACACTGCATTCATTAGCATAATTTACAACAGGTCAATTCCTGTTTTTAATATATTCAGAACACCAGAGTGAGATTTCATAACCATGATAGTGTAACTGTAAACACTGTATAGAATGTTTATCGTTAAGATGGATAAAATTGTAAAATCAGGTTAAACAAAAACACCCAGAGACATATATAACAAAAATTTGAAACTGTTGGAAATCTCAAGATTTCTTCCATGTGCTATTGTTTTAATTTTTGTTTTTCAAATCTTGCACCATTTAAATCATAAAAATCTTTAAAATGATCAAGAATAACAAAGTAGAACCTTTTATTCATTTCAAAAAATATTCAGAATGTTATATTTTCATAATAGTTTTTATACATTAACAAAGGTGAAATCTGAAATACCAACAAGTGACATTGGTCAGCCATATCTCTGAGATTTTGCCAACCTTTTGATCATTTACTTCTTTAATTTGCTTTGTTTGCTTTTATTTACTAATACACATGTATATAGTTTAAAAACTTTACCAGTCTGACACCCATACCTGATCATACATTTATAATGATTTATTTAAATCAAAATACAAAACCAACTAAGAGTAATTAATAGGATTGACCTGTCACATATTCTAGACAGGAAGTACAGGAGTTGCAAATCTCTGTTATTTATGTCTCTGAAAAAACAAACAAACAAAGAAAAAATTCACCCAGTACTTCCAGACAATTAATTGGATATACAGTAACAAATTTTGATTATGTATTGATGACAAAATTTTAGAAGCATGGTATTTTGCTATGAGCTTTCAATTTGTGTTTGTTATATTGTAATAAAATATTATTTATCATTATAAATTATGTTTTTTTTTAAAATAGTTTTATGACTTGATGGAATTATTCCGAACAGGAGGGCAGTGTCCAGACACAAACTACATTTTTATGGTATGTTCACTTGCATAAGCATTAACTAAGTCTTTATAACAATTTTTTTTAATCATAAGGTCTTTGTACCTAGAATTTATCATTCATTTTCAGGAAATAATTATGTTGTAAATTTTTTAGAATTCGAAAATTTAGTCTACCATGTTATTTAGTTATTTTTATGAATTTCTTCTATACATGCTTAGGTGTGCTTACTTTTCTTCATATAGGGAGACTTTGTTGACCGTGGATATTATAGTTTGGAAACTTTCACATTGTTACTGACACTAAAAGCCAGGTAAAATACAGGTGTACAGTATTTTCATGTAGCTAAAGAAAGAAAAGTGTAATGGCAACTGAATTACCTTATTTTGTAGTAGTGTTTAGCTATAGCAACAGTCTACTGTAACTCTTTTTTTTTACTATTTTAAAATTTAAATCGACAGATGGCCAGACAAAATAATTCTGTTGAGAGGAAATCATGAAAGCAGACAGATAACTCAGATATATGGATTTTATGGTAAGTAATTGTATTCCACAAATGACCAGTCACCCCCACCTTCCCCACCCCATCAAATGTAAAATAAATACATGTACACGATACATTTTTTTTCTCAAGAAAAAAAAAAGTTTTAGCTACTATAAGAAGTGGGGCTTGAACAATAAATCCTAGAAAATAGATATGTAAATGATACTTCATTTGATACATGTACATGTATGTGCTGTTAGAAATGAATCAAAAAGTGTAATTTAATTACCATAGGTTGAAATTTTATTCAATTTCCGGTTAAAATTTTTGCTCATGTACTTATCTCCCTTGTCAAGTCTATCAACATGCATGTGCCGGTACCAGCCATTTAATGGCCAGAATCATCTGAAGATCTCTAAGCATCATTGTTTACATTCAGTAATAAAACTGTGGAATGGTGTTTGAAAATGTGATTAAAGCTGTAAGATTTTACTGTTAAATAATTCTGATTTGTCAATTCCATTGGCTCTGTGGAAACTCACTGAATGTCAGCCAGTGACAGTGAGACTTGCAAACCTTACTAAGTACTTAATGACATTTCCTTTTATGCCCGAAAGACCAAGAAATACATGTACTTATGAAATGCTGTTAAGGTTCATAATATGAATGAAAAAAAAAACTAAAATAAGAAATTTGATACTGGAATGTTAATACAGTTGAATTTTGATATCTCAAATACCATGGATATGTTGAACCCATCTGGAAGTCCCAGCCGCTAATCATTCTCTTAGTATTTTATCCTTGATTTCTGAAATCTTATATCTCGAATTATTTCTTTTACCATTAATTTCGAGATAACAAGGTTTGACTGTGTTAATAACTTTTTGAGGGGAAACTTTCCACTGGTATGTTTTTGATGGAACATTTCCATCAGCACATGAATATTCTTGTCTGTTGTATTTTGTTTGGTGAACTATACATGTAGTCATGTACATACTGTGTGTTGTGGACAGACATGTCAGTCAATGTGTTAGCAGCAGCTTGTTGAACAGACATCTCTTGTATGTCTGTCCTAATTTGCTTTCCCAGAAGGCTACATTTCTGCAGCTGTAGATATGGGAAATAAGATTTCTAACATGTATGTATACCCACACAGATGCTCTGTTTGAAAAAGTGTATGTTTTTTAACCTATAGATGAATGTCAGTCTAAATATGGGAATGCCAATGCCTGGAGGTATTGCTGTAAAGTGTTTGATCTCCTCACAGTAGCAGCAGTGAGTATGAACTATGATTAACATATACGGGGATTTTGTATTTGAAGGAATCTTTTACTAAGTTTTTATTTGTTTCTCCAAAAATATTGCAAACATGCTCTAAGGCATTTCAGCAAGCCAGGGGTTTTTGGTCCATTTCGCTCTCTCTTCTGGAGAGCAAAGCGGACCGAAAATCCTTGGCTTGCAAAGATGGTATTAAGAGATCACCAGACTTAAATGATATATATACAAGTGTATCTTTTAGCAGTAATTCATGTGTCTTTGAGTGATAGAGTTGTGGAATTCAATTTTCCATTATAAAAACTTTATTTTGTTAGTATGCAGATTTTTTTCTTTCTATTAATTTAAAATAGAGATCATAATGATTTTTTTCAACAGATTATAGATGAGTGTGTTTTGTGTGTCCATGGAGGTCTGTCCCCAGATATAAAGACCATTGACCAGATTAGAACAATTGAGAGGAATCAAGAAATCCCTCACAAAGGAGCTTTTTGTGATATCCTTTTTTTGTGTGTATATGTATTTGGATTTTTTCTTTCAGGTAACTGTTAACGAAGGTCATGCATTTTTACAAGTTGTGTCACATAGCTAAAAATATGGAATTTTTCCAAATGATAGACCCAAAACAGATTGTTATGTTACATACAGAAACAATATTTTCTTTTGTCTTTCTTCAGTTTGCTGAAAAAAAGTTGGGTTTTTTTTGTTTGTTTTTTTTTAATATATAAAAAGATAACTCTTGAAACATAAAATTAGCTGGTTATTTAAGTAATGTAATAAGTGTAAGAGTTTCTGGTGTTTAACTGTGAAATTTTCTCACTGGCTCAAAGTTTGGTTGGTTTAAATGAAACTGCATTTAAAATTCGAAGCAATGTAGTACGACTTAATAAAAGGAAGTATGAATCATTATACGTACGCTTTACTCAATAACCAAACCTGACCTGATTTCACGTGTTTTATGAACTTTTTATCATAAAATGTCTAGTTTAGTGCGGAAAACGTTTCTGTGTGCGCTGAAAACGAGATCTTCTTTCCAACATTATGGATTCACGGCAATAAGAAATCTGACCGGTCGTACCATGGTGTGTAAAAGGACATTTTCAAGCCTTGTCAATTTTCCGAGGCAATTCGGAAGCGTACAACAGCGTTGGTGTCATCAGAAAAGTGCCAGCCTTGAAAGTGATTCCAATTTGTCGAAGTACCTGGAATCTGAAATAAAGTCAGAAACGGAGGACGGGCTTGAAGAAATTGACAACCTTCTTGATGGATGGACAAAGGAATGTGAAGGAGTTCAAGTGGTTTTAAACAAGAAGATAGGCAAAGAGACTGTCAGAGTAAAATTCAGCATTGCTGGAGCTCTGGAGGAATATGGACCAGAGGGAGAGGAAGTAGAGTATGAGATGCCATTGTTTTGTAAGCCTCCCTTTGAAGTTGAAATTGTCAAGCCTAGTGGTAACACAATGGCTATCCGTTGCATGATTTCAGAAGAAATCGGGGAAGAGCCATCAGAGGATGATGTGTCTGACAGATTCGAAATTATCAACGTTGCAATGACCCAAGGAGAAGTTAAAGAAACAACATATGTTTGCGAAGCAGAAAATATGGATGTTGACATGTATGAGGGGCTTATGGACGTTCTTGATGAAAGAGGCATTGACAGAGCTTTCACTCAAGACTTGATTGAATTTAGCACAAAATATGAAAAGAAGGCATATGTTAACTTCATTTCATCAATGAAGAAGTTTGCAGATGAATAGTGCTGTTGTGACAGTTTTTGACAAGAAAGATTTGCATTAACATGTAGAGAACATTTTTTAACAACTCACCATGATTTGTTCCATTATGTTTTATGTAATATCATAAGTGATTTATGAATAAAATTTTAGATCTGACTTTTTAAAAAATTCATATAATGAACATTCTGTTCAGTGCATAGAAGGTAAAGTCATATTGCTGCTGAACATTTGTTTCCGACTAACTTGGGCATTAACTAAATTAACTAAAAAAGGAGGGGGGGGGGTGTTTTGCCTCTTTTCTAAGCCAGCTTCCTTCATATACATGACTCTTCTTGTCATTTTATTGGGGGCAGGGGGTGGTGGATAGGGGGTCCTAGGTCATTTTGTGTTGCCTGCAGAGCAGAGCGACACTTGGGGATCACTTTACTTGAATACTGTCCTTTCTTCTGTCTGTTACACCGTATTTATAGGTATGGATTTGATATTTTGCACATTTATTGCTTGGCACTTTGGCTTTTGTAGAATACTATGGTTGTGACCTTTTAACTTGACTCCTGACCTACTTTTCAAAATAGCTCATTGTACATATACACAGCATATTTTTGACATTTAAAAGGTAAATTTATGCTATTTAGCATGTACATTGTTTGACATTACTAGCGTTACAATCCACTTGACTTTGACCTTCCTTGCAAAAATACTCTGAATGGTTGATTCAGTTTGTGTTTCTTTTGATTTTGTGAGGCAGGGTTTTGAAATTAGCAACTATAATTCATGTTTATGAGCTCATGAAACTACTTTGAAACTGTATGCCATGCTGTAACCACACAAACTGAAATTTAAATAGATTGTACTTTCAAAATACATCGTGATTGGTATACCAGTATTAAAGAAAGACTGAAATCTCTTTTGGGGATGGTTAGATTAAACACGCATTTATCATGTTTTAAAATGAAAAATATATATTTTTTTAAAGGTTAATTTCAATTTCATTATTCCCCCTAGCTTTGGAGATTGGGGAATCATATTTCTATTCTAAAATCAGATTTTATATGATAAACGCTATTCTTCATGGATTTTTCCTGTGCTTTTATAAATCATGATAATGCTAGTAGCAAATAAATAACTGGCCACTCTTCGGTTTATTGTTATTTTTAATGATGCTATAAAGCAGGCGACACATTTGTTCCTTGGAACTCTCTAGTTTGATAATGTAGAAATTCAATAACTCTGTAAATCCAGGGGGGTGGGAGCTTTAGATCCAAGAAATTGTGAAGTCATTTCTTGCTGCCTTCTTTCCTAAAATTATTAATATATCAGAAATGCTCATTATTTCATAATTGTAAAATGAGTATTCATTTTTGTATTCATAAATATCTGTCTATTCAAGAGAATGATTGGTTTGTAACAGAAATTTTTAAATTGTGCAGATTTTTCCAAAATACACATGTTAATTAAAAGCCAATGTTGGAATATTTCAAAAACAAGTATTGTTTGATGATAATTTGACATTTTTCCTTAATGCTGTATACATTTGGTATGGTCTGATCCTGAGGATGTTGAGACATGGGCAATCAGTCCCAGGGGTGCAGGATGGCTCTTTGGGGCAAAGGTCACAAATGAGGTAAGAATGCTATTTTTTTGGCATGGAAGATCCTTTAAAATGAAAGATGGAAATCCCATATAAGTGGGGGGGTTTTATGAAAGGAAAGATGGGGATCACCAGACCCAAGTTTCTTTACAAAAGGCCTTGGTCAGTGGAGATTAAAAAAAAATGAAGTCTGATTTATGAGCTGACTTGCACTGTATGCAGTTAGTAGCTGATCTGAGCATAAAGCTCAAGTTGCTTTTCTGATAACATTCATCCAATTTTAACCAAACTTGTCACAAGCATTCTTGAGTAAAGGGGATTCAAGTTTGTTCAAATGAGGGGCCACATACTATTAAAAGGAGAATGAAATGCAGATTTAGGGTGGGTATCTTAAAAATCCTCTCGGAACTACTGGACCAGAAAAGAGGAAATTGATAGTTTTAAGATACAAGGTAAAGTTAATTTTATTCAAATCATGGCCCCAGGGAGTTGGTTGGGGCCAGAATTCAAGAAGTTTAGCATGGGAATATAGAGGGGAAAATTTCTTTATGCATGTATTTTGTTTTTAAGAACATTAAATGCTATGAGTAGTGAAATTAATATGCAATCATCCCCAGGTAGTATAGATTCAGGTTCAAATTATAGTCCCATGGGGTAGAAAGGGGTCAAAATGCAAAGTTTAATATGAGAATATTTAGGAATTTTTTTTAATAATCTCAATAACAAGGCAATGATAAGTCACATTAATGTGCATGCATCCTCAGAGAGTGTAAATTTAAGAATTTTAAGTTTGTTTGAAATGTGCCATCCAGGAATAGGGTTGGGGCACAATAGGGTATCCAAGTTTTACATGACAATATATAGGGAAAAAATTATTAAATAATTTCTTTTAAAGAACAGCAGATCCATGATAAGTCATTCATGTACATACTACACAAGTATTCTCAAGTTTTGCAGATTTAAATTCGTTGAAATCATAATCTCCATGGGTAGGAGTAAAAGTTTCACATGGAAGGTATAGTTTAATAAAAAACAATGTACAAAAACTTTCCTCTTATGAACAGTAAGGCCGTTATTAGTGATGTTTGATGCAAACATCATCCAGCGTTGTAGATTCAAGTTTAAGGGCCACTGGTGCAAGGGTACCGTGGGATCACAATAGAAATTCAAAGAAAATATCTTTTAAAAAACTTCTTGTAAAGAACAACATGGTCATGATTAGTCATAAAAATATGCAGAAATTTCAGTGTGTAGATTCAAGTTTCTTCAAATATGACTCTGGGGCTAGGTTTGTGCCATTGTTTTGAAAAACGCTGCCAAGGTGACTCAGGTGAGCATTGTGGCTTATGGGCATCTTGTATAAAAATGCCACCAGGAACATAAAATTGCTAATTAAGAAATATTTCATCATTTCAGTTTATGCATATCAACAACCTGAAACTTATATGCAGAGCTCATCAGTTAGTGCACGAAGGTAATATATATTTATGTACTAGACAATGTTTTGTAAAAACTGACAATAAAGCACGCATAATTAATGAGATGATAAAGGTGGAAAATACTGAAATGCTGTATTTAGTACTGTGGAGAACTGAATAATAAGTTACATAGTATGCATCATCGCGGACATGGAGTCCGCATACAGCTCTCTCCTATACTGGCCAGACGTACGTTTTGGCCATGGTTTGCGACGATGCATAGTATGTTAGATAATATTAATACATGTATTAATCATTGAATTCATAAGTTTTAGTGAATTGCTTCATATCTGTATGGATGATTTTTTTTTCAGGCTATAAGTACATGTTTGATGAGAAACTTGTGACAGTCTGGTCAGCACCTAACTACTGTTATCGATGTGGAAACATTGCAGCAGTTTTATCATTCAAAGATCCAGACACAAGAGAGGCCAAATTATTCCGTGCTGTACCAGAACACGAGAGGGTCATTCCAGCACGCACAACAACTCCATATTTTCTATAGGACAGTCATAAGTTTTTAATTCAGCTTTTGGATCGGTGACAGATTTGGAACAAAATATATATTGTCTCATTAAATGATAAATGAAATAACAGGAAAATAGATTACTCCATTAGTAAATTAAAATTTAAAAAAAAGCTCATAAATTATCATGTGTTATGACAATTTACATTGATTGTAAAGCCTTCAGGTTGTTTTCATTTTTTCACATAAGAATGTGAAAAAGTAAACATTTCTCATGGATTTTAGAACGTTTATAACATACGCAGACATTATCAAAACATTGAAGAGCATGTCAATTTAAAACCTCTTTATTGAAATCTGATCTTTTATAATTGTGTTTGTAAATAATGTAAATAAATGTATTTTTAAACAATTTTCTTCCTTTATTTTTCATCTTTTCAGACAATTATCATTTTTTACTTCATAAATGAAGGCTATTTTTTTCAAGTTTGATTGCTTTTTAGTTTTTATTTCAGCAAAACAATTTGTTTGACCTTTAAGATATTTTTGATAACTGGATATTTTTATCGGCCTAGATATCCTCTCCAGTTCGTCGGGGGGGGGGGGGGTCTCTATCCTGTTCCATTTTTTTTTTCAGAATACTGGTAATTTGCCATTGCTTGACTTTAATTAAAGCAACAAAAAAGGGGGAGAGGGCAACTAGCATCTAAATAAATAATAATCTTTGTTTTACTCTCTTTTTTTTTGGCAAGATGAATTGCAATCAGACTAAAACTGCAGAAGTAGTAGCCTTTTAAAAGAATTTTAGAGAAATTTCGATTTTAGTTACCAAGGCAACATCATTCATCAAAATCAAAAAACAAAGACAATTATGTATCTCAATGTAGTCTCAGGGCTACTTGCATGCCACGTTATATCAAAATCAGACAAAACTGTAGGCGAAGTAATGTTTTGAAAGTATATCAAAGAAATTTCAATTTTTTGTAACCATGGCAACACTTAACCAAAATCAAAAAATGGATAAGCAGAATTATGTATCTCAGTGTAATCTACTTGTGTGCCAAGTTATATTGAAATCAGACCAAAACTAGGAGGAGTAGCATTTTGAAAGTATTTCACAGAAATTTCTATTTTTAGTAACCATGGCAACACCGTTCATCGAAATCAAAAAGTGATATGCAGAATTATGTATCTTAGTGTAGTTTACTTGTGTGCCAAGTTATATTGAAATCAGGCCAAAACTGTAGGAGGAGTAGCGTTTTGAAAGTATTTCACAGAAATTTCTATTTTTAGTAACCATGACAACACTGTTCATCGAAATCAAAAACCGGTAAAGAGAATTATGTATCTTAGTGTAGTCTACTTGTGTGCCAAGTTATATTGAAATCAAACTAAATCTGTTGGAGGAGTACGCAGCATTGTTCGAAGAAATCAACACAATATAAAAGTGCATAAATACATACCTTTTTAAAATTAATTCTAATTTTGTAAAGGTACTATATTATCTTATGACTTTAACATTCTTTGAAATAACGTGGTTTGGTCACGTTATTTGATAGTCACGTGATAAATGCATGTAATGTGTATTGTATGTAGGTCACAAACACATTTCAATATCGCAAGGGCATACCCTAGTTAAAATTAAAAATTAAAGTAATAGATTGTTTCTACATAACTTGTAGTTTATGGAAAGTGCTGCTGCTTTAAATAGAATTCGCATTTTATTAGTTTAAATTTGAAGTTGTCTAGCTAATGTCGAAATATGTGTGACCTTTACCAAGTATTTTATGCATTTATTAAGTTATGCTATCGATTTCAAGAAAGCAGCAGCACTTTTCAAGTTAAGGAATATGTCCATTATGTGTATTCAAAAAATGGTCAAGATCTATTAAGTGTATGCCCTTGCGAAAAGGCGATTTAATGAGGCACCTCGGCGTGAAACATGCACACCCTGTAGACAAAAACACGGTAGAATTAATTCAATACATTCTCTCGATATTTTTTAAATAATGGCAATAAACAAACGTTTCAGATTTGTATTAATGGTCTACCTCAGATTTTCAAATAATATTCTGTTTAATAATAAAATGCATTTTTCACTGTGAAAAAATTATTTGATCCGCCTCTCACTGCACATAAAATGCGTCAAACTTTACCATGATGACGTCATGTCGACAAGTGCATTGCGATCAGTGATTTGTTTATATCTTGCTGTCTGGAATTTAACTAGCGACAAAAATGAATGCAGTGGTAAGTTTTGATAAAGGTCATTACTCTTATGCAGTTTAGATTCGCAAATTATTTCATTTTCTGTTATTGTGAGGAATTGCTATATTTGTGTGATGTCACAGTAAACTTTTCCCGTATAAATTAGGCCCCGCCCCCTTTATGCAGCCTTAACAGAGCTGCGTAGCATTTTGAAAGTATTTCACAGAAATTTCTACTTTAAGTAACCATGGTAACACCTTTCATCGAAATCAAAATCCGATACACAGAATTATGTATCTTAGTGTAGTCTATTTCTGTGCCAAGTTATATTGAAATCAGACCAAACCTGTAGGAGGGATAGCATTTTGAAAAATTGTTTACAGTCAGACAGACAGCTAGACGGACGGACGACGGACACCTTACTATCGCATAAGCTCTTCTGGTCTCTGACCAGTAGAGCTAAAAACTTAAAACGTTCTAGGACCTGTGCATGTTATATTTTGAGATACGGCTCACCTTTGTAATTGTCCATATTTTCTGAATGTTCAAAAATTAGAAAGATAATGCCGTCTGAAAACTATATTAAGAGCTGCATATGAATGCTTGTATTAATTATACAAAATTTATACTTTGCACTAATTATGCAATGTTAAACGAAGTGCTATATGTATTATATAAACAAATTTTTGACTATTTTTGCGTACACTATTATTTGAAGAAGAAGAAAAAAATCAATAACGAAATTATATAAACTATCTAGACGAACTGTGAGCGAGCCCAAAAATTTATACCCCTGAGCCAATTATTTTGAAGTACTTCCTAAATATGATCTCGAACTTGCCAAAATGCCTTGGAAAAATAAAGAGACTGGTAATAATTAAGTGACCTGGCTTTGAGTGAAATAGGGACAACCAATGTTTCCACATTATAAACATGATAAAATTATGCACTTGACATGAATTTTGCACTTTTTTCTATCGGTGACCGTGTATCTGCCAAAATGACCTCGGGTGAAGTTTAAAGCTACAGAAAATTTGCTCTGGTTGAGAAAATACGGACAAACCAGGCAAACTGTGGTTTGTCTGTCCGAATTTTCTCAATCAGAAAGCTTCACTTTTGCAGCTACAAATATGATGTATGATGTCTTTAAATGTCACCCATGATCACACATTTTCTTCAGACTTCAGGTATAAGTATATCTTTATCATTCTAACTTAAAGAGGTACACTGTAAGCACCTGAAAGTATTGTAATGTCAGTTTTTCATGAAGTATCTATGGTCGATACAATGACCTTGTCAGCAAATACAATTTATCATTGAGTCAAATGCTGACTGACGTTTTTCACACTAATTGTTAGGCCATTATTTACATTCTGAATTGTCGACGGATTTTTCCCTTATTTCCCGATCATGACAAGGAGAACACGGCGGGTGTGACCGGTCGGCAGGGGATGCTCACTCCTCCATGGCACCTGATCCCACCTCTGATGTTTGGAGGTCCGTGTTTGCTCTGCTCCTATTTTGTATTGATTAATGGACTTTTGAGCTTGAATACTGTTCGTTATCTCCATATATTTCATATACATGTCTAAATACTTATTCGGATAAGGAATTAAAAAAGTGAAGAGAAACAGGGGTAACAATTAAATGCCTTGTTTCTTAGTGAAAGCCAGTTTAAACAGACCTTTTTGCACTTAAAAAAAAATTTGAAATATTGACTGAAACAATATTATAAACACGGTAAAACATTTTATATTATCATTTATGGCATGTCAAACGTTGCAATATTATCTTTTCCATTTGTATAATTTTTCATTTATATTCCGTAATTTTCCATTTGCATTGCATATTTTTCCATTTGTATTGTATCATGTTTATTTATATTCTATAATTTTTCATTTGTATTATATAATTTTTCATTTGTATTGTATAATTTTTATTTGTATTGAATAATTTCCATTTGTATTCTATAATTTTTAGTTTATATTGTATAATTTTTCATTTATATTGTATAGTTTTTATTTGTATTATATAATTTTCCATTTGTATTCTATAATTTTTCATTTGTATTGTAAAATTTTTATTTGTATGAATAATTTTCAATTAGTATTGTATAATTTTCCATTAATTGTATTGTAAATTTTCCATTTGTATTCTTTAATTTTCTATTTGTTTTTTATGATTGTACAATACAAATGGAAAAGTATACAATGCAAAAGGAAAAGTATACAATACAAATGAGAACTTATACAATACAAATGGAAAATTTTACAAAATAAATGGAAAATTATACATTTCAAATAAAAATTTTATAATACAAATAAAAACATATACAATACAAATGGAGAATTATAGAATACAAATGGAAAATGAAAGAATACAAATACAAAATTTACAATACAAATGAAATATTGAAGAATACAAAATTGAAAATTATACAATACAAATGGAAAATTATGCAATACAAATGGAAAATTATACAATACAAATGGAAAAGATCGAATATTGCAACGTTTGACATGTCATATTAAATCAATTAATTTTCAAGGCTAATAGTTTTGGTCAGAAAAAAATTCTTGAAGTCTAAAAAATGAAGTGTGACCTTTCTGCACGTAAAGGTAAGAAAATCAAACGTGAATAAAGTATGTTTCTGAAATTTAGTGAAGGAGAAATGCCATATTAAAGATTTTTACATGAATATTATTGCTATTTTTTTTATTTTGGATATTAAACACAAAAATGGGGTCACATTTCATTTTTAGCTCACCTGAGCCGAGTAAATGTCTAAATTTAAGCCCCTCACGGTATATGGTGACGTCTCTATATGAGTGAAAAATCAAACAATCAATGTGTAAGCAAAACCCTTTTTATGTCGTATTGAAAATACAATCCTTTCTGTTGATACGAGAATCTATCTCTGAAAAAAGTGTTTTATTGTTGTTTACATATTGTTTGTTGAAGAGAAGTCGAGGTCTGCAAACTGCAATTTGATTAAAATTATCACCTTTACGATGGCGGTGTATAATTTTCGTTGGCTGACACATGATATGAAAGAGTACATATTATACAAACTGAAACAAAAACATATATTGACATTTGAAAGCTAAGAAGTTTTTCAAAAAAATACCGATAATGAGTAAACCTCTTTTATACTGTACTCCGGTAATCTACGGGGTTTCTTGAAATATCTGTGATGTCAATCTT